TGATTTTCTGGAGAAAAAAAATCTCAATTTGTCTGTCATAGTTGACGTGTACCTATGATGAAAATTACAGGCCTCTCTCATCTTTTTAAGTGGGAGAACTTGCACAATTGGTGGCTGACTAAATACTTTTTTCCCCCACTGTACTTATTTCCATCATTAAAATGCAAATCAATTCATAACATTTTTGACATGCGTTTTTCTGGATTATTTTGTTGTTATTCTGTCTCTCACTGTTCAAATAAACCTACCATTAAAATTATAGACTGATCATTTCTTTGTCAGTGGGCAAACTTACAAAATCAGCAGGGGATCAAATCCTTTTTTCCCTCACTGTACATGTGGGTAGAGTTAAAGTGACTATGCATAGATAATTAACAGAGTAGCAGCAGTGTAAAAAGATGGGGTGGGGGGCAGTGCAAATAGTCTGAGTAGCCATGATTAGCTGTTCAGGAGTCTTTTGGCTTGGGGGTAGAAGCTGTTGAGAAGTCTTTTGGACCTAGACTTGGCACTCAGGTACCGCTTACCGTGCGGTAGCAGAGAGAACAGTCTATGACCAGGGTGGCTGGAGTCTTTGACAATTTTGAGGGCCTTCCTCTGACACCGGCTGGTATAGAGGTCCTGGATGGCAGGAAGCTTGGCCCCAGTGATGTACTGGGCCGTACGCACTACCCTCTGTAGTGCCTTGCGGTCGGAGGCCAAGCAGTTGCCATACCAGGCGGTGATGCAACCAGTCAGGATGCTCTCGGTGGTGCAGCTGTATAATTTTTTGAGGATCTGAGGACCCATGCCAAATCTTTTCAGTCTCCTGAGGGGGAATAGGCTTTGTCGTGCCCTCTTCATGACTGTCTTGGTGTGTTTGGACCATGATAGTTCGTTGGTGATGTGGACACCAAGGAACCTGAAGCTCTCAACCTGTTCCACTACAGCCCTGTCGATGAGAATGGGGGCGTGCTCAGTGCTCTTTTTTTTCCTGTAGTCCACAATCATCTCCTTTGTCTTGGTCACGTTGAGGGAGAGGTTGTTATCCTGGCACCACACGGCCAGGTCTCTGACCTCCTCCCTATAGGCTGTCTCATCATTGTCGGTGATCAGGCCTACCACTGTTGTGTCGTCGGCAAACTTAATGATGGTGTTGGAGTCGTGCCTGGCCATGCAGTCATGGGTGAACAGGGAGTACAGGAGGTGGCTGAGCACGCACCCCTGAGGGGCCCCTGTGTTGAGGATCAGTGTGGCAGATGTGTTGTTACCTACCCTTACCACCTGGGGGCGGCCCGTCAGGAAGTCCAGGATCCAGTTGCAGAGGGAGGTGTTGAGCTTTGAGTGTACTATGGTGTTGAATGCTGAGCTGTAGTCAATGAATAGCATTCTCATGTAGGTGTTCCTCTTGTCCAGGTGGGAAAGGGCAGTGTGGAGTGCAATAGAGATTGCATCATCTGTGGATCTGTTGGGGCGGTATGCAAATTGGAGTGGTTCTAGGGTTTCTGGGATAATGGTGTTGATGTGAGCCATGACCAGCCTTTCAAAGCACTTCATGGCTACAGACGTCAGTGCTACGGGTCGGTAGTCATTTAGGCAGGTTATCTTAGTGTCCTTGGGCACGGGGACTATGGTGGTCTGCTTGAAACATGTTGGTATTACAGACTCAGTCAGGGACATGTTGAAAATGTCAGTGAAGACACTTGCCAGTTGGTCAGCACATGCTTGGAGTACACGTCCTGGTAATCCGTCTGGCCCTGCGGCCTTGTGAATGTTGACCTGCTTAAAGGTCTTACTCACATCGGCTACGGAGAGCGTGATCACATAGTCATCCGGAACAGCTGGTGCTCTCATGCATGCTTCAGTGTTGCTTGCCTCGAAGCGAGCATAGAAGTGGTTTAGCTCGTCTGGAAGTCTTGTGTCACTGGGCAGCTCGCGGCTGCAGAGAAGAATGGGAGAAACTCCCCAAATACAGGTGTGCCAAGCTTGTAGCGTCATACCCAAGAAGACTTGAGCCTGTAACTGCTGCCGAAGGTGCTTCAACAAAGTACTGAGTAAAGGGTCTGAATACTTATGTAAATGTGATATTTAAGTTTTTTATTTTTTGGCCGGGCGGCCAGCTCTAGGAAGAGTCTTGGTGGTTCCAAACTTCTTCCATTTAAGAATGATGGAGGCCACTGTGTTCTTGGGGTCCTTCAATGCTGCAGAAATGTTTTGGTACCCTTTCTCAGATCTGTGCCTCGACACAATCCTGTCTCGGAGCTCTACGGACAATTCCTTCGACCTCATGGATTGTTTTTTTCTCTGACATGCACTGTCAACTGTGGGACCTTTTATATAGACCGGTGTGTGCCTTTCCAAATCATGTTCAATCAATTGAATTTACCACAGGTGGATCCAATCAAGTTGTAGAAACATTTCAAGGATGATCAATGGAAACAGGATGCACCTGAGCTCAATTTCAAGTCTCATAGCACAGGGTAGGAAGGTATTTCTGTTTTTTATTTGTAAGACATTTACAAAAAAGTATGAAAACTTGTTTTCGCTTTGTCATTATGGGGTAATGTGTGTAGATTAATGAGGAAAACATTTAATTTAATACATTTTAAAATAAGGCTGTAACGTAACAAAATGTGGAAAAAGTCAAGGGCTCTGAATACTTTCCGAATGCACTGTATATGTATCTTTGAGGTTTGTCTTTTAGAAGAGCGCAAATGGCACGTAGCGAATTGTCCCAGTTCCATTGATTTCCATACAATATCGAAGTGAGTGATTCATTTGCGTGGACTATTGATTACGGTAGAACAAGCTTCGAGTGGGCGCTTGGCAAATGTTGGTGTGTGTACAGTTTGTAAGGTACTAATTTAGCAAAATACAAGTAATCTGAACACAAGTGTGCCTATAGAAAGTCTACACATTTACATTACATTTACATCATTTAGCAGATGCTCTTATCCAGAGCAACTTACAAATTGGTGTATTCAACTTATGATAGCCAGTGGGACAACCACCTTTATTTTTTTTTATGGGGTGTGGGGGAAGAAGGATTACTTTATACTATTCCAGGTATTCCTTAAAGAGGTAGGGTTTCAAGTGTTTCCGGAAGGTGGTCAGTGACTCCGCTGTCCTGGCATCGTGGGGGAGCTTTTTCCACCATCGGGGTGCCAGAGCAGCAAATAGCTTTGACTGGGCTGAGTGGGAACTGTGCTTCCGTAGAGGTAGGGGGAGCTAGCAGGCCAGAGGTGGATGAACATAGTGCCCTCGTTTGGGTGTAGGGTCTGATCAGAGCCTGAAGGTAAGGAGGTGCCATTCCCCTCACAGCTCCGTAGGCAAGCACCATGGTCTTGTAGTAGATGCGAGCCTCAACTGGAAGCCAGTGGAGTGTGCGGAGGACCGGGGTGACATGAGAGAACTTGGGAAGGTTGAACACCAGACGGGCTGCAGCGTTCTGGATAAGTTGAAGGGGTTTAATGGCACAGGCAGGGAGCCCAGCCAACAGCGAGTTGCAGTAATCCAGACGGGAGGTGACAAGTGCCTGGATCAGGACCTGTGCCGCTTTCTGTGTAAGGTAGGTTCGTACTCTGCGAATGTTGTAGAGCATGAACCTGCAGGATCGGGTCACCGCTTTGATGTTAGCGAAGAACGACAGGGTATTGTCCAGGGTCACGCCAAGGTTCTTCACACTCTGGGAGGAGGACACAATGGAGTTGTCAACCGTGATGGCGAGATCATGGAGCGGGCAGTCCTTCCCCGTGAGGAAGAGCAGCTCCGTCTTGCGGAGGTTCAGCTTGAGGTGGTGATCCGACATCCACACTCCTTAACACCCCTTTAACTTTTTTTTCACCAAGTGGAAAGAAAGCCTGTGTTAGAAAATCCACTCCAAATCATCCATTCTGTTTGCAACAAGGCTGTTAAGTAATACTGCAAGACAACACGGCAAATAAATGTACTTTCTGGCCTAAATTAAAAACTACAGGGTTGAGTCAAATCAAATACAACACAACACATAGTGAAACCCTCTCTATTTTCAAGTATTGTGTTGGTGGAATCATGTTATGGGTATGCTTGTCATCGGTAGGGACTGGGGAGTTTTTCAAGTTCAAAATGAATATGAAAGGAGCCAAGCCCAGGTAAAAAGTTAGAGGAAAACCTTCCTCAGTCTTCTGAAAAACTATCCCAGGGTTAGGTTATTTTTCAGCGAGACAACTTACACAAATGTTAATGCCAAAGACACACCAGAATGGCTTTCCAATAAGTGTTGAGTGTTCCTGAGTGGTCTAGTCTCAGTCCTGACTTACATTTGCTTAAAAATCAGAAATAAAGTTTGAATATTGTTGTCCATCAATGATTCCCAACCAAATGTAGTGAGCTTGAGCAATGTTGCCCTAAGAGTTGTGCAAAGTCTTGTCTTGCCTACTACAAGTCAAGGATTACCTGAAGTACCCACCCATCAGACACAAACAAACATTATTAAGAACGCCTCTTTACCATCTAAGTTAGTTAACTAGCAATTAGCATTTCATTTTTATAGGGTAAATGGAGGCGAATGTATTGATAAAAGTCACCTTGTCCGAGAGAATTACACCCATTATCAAAATGTCACGTCTGGGTAAGCCTACACGAAACACATACCTTATTTGAAGTGGTTGTGAAATCCCCTATGGGAGAAATTGATGGTGAAAAAAACGATTGGAACCATTTCCGTGTTTGACCACTAGGTTTTTTTTATGGGTATCATGACTGAAACTGTGATATTCTATAACATTAGATAACGTTAGCTAGGTGATGAAAACAAGCTGTTTATCCTAAGGTTTACAATACAGGGTAGCTATCTGCCAAAGTAATCTAGCTTCTTTGCTATTTATGGTAGCAGATAGTTAATATTGAACCTATTGGTCCAGGCATCATGACACTAGTTACCTTTTTTCTACTGGTTTCCAACTTATTGTGTATCAGCCAGCAGAAAGTAGTTAGTTAATCTAAGTTAATATGCAAATTACCATCTCTTAACAGATTTCACAGAAATGATGCGGGCTCTGGGCTATCCTCGCTTGATATCAATGGAGAACTTCAGGACCCCCAACTTTACCCTGGTGGCAGAAATTCTCATTTGGCTTGTGAAAAGGTGAGAAATAGGCGAAGTCTGACAAATGCAGTAGCTAGTCATCTGACAAATGCATACGATACAGCACACTACTGCAATGATTTTTCTTTTATCCTACGTTTCTGTTGTTCCAACAGATATGAACCGCAAATGGACATACCGAGTGACGTGGACACGGAGACAGACAGGATTTTCTTCATAAAGGCAGTGGCCCAATTTATGGTAAAGATGCACTGTCATTTGTTTAAGGCTGCGCCGCATCTCACCCCCCTGGATCCGTTTTCCCCAGAGCTAAAGTCCCATCAGCCTTGGTCTTACTTTGTTAAATGGGCACCATTCACCAGAGTAGCCTGTTCTCTGAGCAGCCGAACGAGTCGAGCAGAGACAGTGCGTCAAGTACATGAGCGGAAGCTTCGGTACCTTTAGCTATCGGGAAGAGGGGTCCAGAGAAGTCGGATTCACAGCCACGCCATTTGTTTAATTTATTTGACTGTTTATCAATATTTTGTTTATTTTGAGACCTCCCATATTTGTCTATTATTGCATATCGTATTATTTTGTAGTAACTGTTCTACAAGGCCACTTTAATTTGAAGTGCTAATGTCTTCATAGAATAAGGGAATGTGTAGTTTACGAGGCTAACAGGTTTTGGAGGGGGAACTCAAAATGTGTTTTTCACCTGATTCCAGGCAACAAAGGCTCACATCAAGGTGAACACAAAGCGTCTGTACCAGGCTGATGGCTACGCTGTGAAAGAGATGTTGAAGATCACCTCAGTGCTGTACAGTGCCATGAAGACCAAAGAGATGGCCTCAGGGGACAAAGTGGAGGAGGACAATAGCAAATTCAAGTTTGACTTGGGTTCCAAGGTGAGAATGACGCTGTCGGTAACATGTACCTCCATGTTGTCAACTCCATGTAGGCCTACCTTCAGATATGCTAACTCCATGTACCTCCATATATGCTAGCTCCATGTGCCTTCTATGTAACAAAATACATCTACCAAATGAGAAAAGATCTGCAAGAAATTGTCATTTTTAGGAAGAAATGGAGTGGAGGTCCAAAATGGTTTCTAAGGTTCTGCTGAAAGGTTATGTTTAGCCCATAGATATGACTACGTTAATATAAGCAGGGGACCCCTGACAGAGAAAAGGCTGTGTGGGGTTTCCCTGTTGGTGTTACAGGGTTATTGGTATTGTAATATATTCAGCCCGACAGACAAGGAGATACTCCCAGCCCTGTCTGTGCATACAGTTCAGACCTGTTGGGGGTTCGACCACGAATGTGACAAATTGACAATTTTGCTTAACGTTTAAACATATACACTACCGTTCAAAAGTTTGGGGTCACTTAGAAATGTACTTGTTTTCGAAAGAAAAGCAAAAAATGTTGTCCATTAAAATAACATCAAATTGATGTTGTAAATGGCTATTGTAGCTGGAAACGGCTGATTTTTAATGGAATATCTACATAGGCGTACAGAGGCCCATTATCAGCAACCATCAGTCCTGTGTTCCAATGGCACGTTGTGTTTGCTAATCCAAGTTTATCATTTTAAAAGGCTAATTGATCACTGTGCCCTTGGCAGATAACAAAAGAACAGGATGTACCACTTACTGTGGTCACCCCCAAACGGCCCTTGACCGCATGACTAAGTTACACAAAGACAGTTTGTATCAGTAGAAAAAACACTAGCATATAACAATAGACAATTCTCTAAGTAACAAACAGCATAGTATGTCTAATTTGTAATTTTCCACCACAGTACCAGTACCGATTCAATGTGCGGGGGACAGGTTAGTCGAGGTAATTTGTACATGTAGGTAGGGGTAAAGTGACTATGCATAGATATTAAACAGCGAGTAGTAGCAGTGTAAAAACAAAGGGGGAGGGGGTCAATGTAAATAGTCTGGGTGGCCATTTGATTAATTGTTCAGTAGTCTTATGGCTTGGGGGTAGAAGCTGTTAAGGAGCCTTTTGGACCTAGACTTGGCACTCCGGTACCGCTTGCCATGCGGTAGCAGAGAGAACAGTCTATGACTTGAGTGACTGGAGTGACAATTTTTTGGGCCTTCCTCTGACACCGCCTAATATATAGGTCCTGGATGGCGGGAATCTTGGCCCCAGTGATGTACTGGACTGTACTCACTACACTCTGTAGCGCCTTATGGTCTGATGCCGAGCAGTTGCCATACCAGGCGGTGATGCAGCCAGTCAAGATGCTCTCAATGGTGCAGCTGTAGAACCTTTTGAGGATCTGGGGACCCATGACAAATCTTTTCAGTCTACTGAGGGGGAAAAGGGATTATCGTGCCGGGAGAGGTTGTTGTCCTGGCACCACACTGCCAGGTCTCTGACCTCCTCCCTATAGGCTGTCTCATCGTTGTTGATGATCAGGCCTACCACCCTTGTGTCGTCAGCAAACTTAATGATGGTGTTGGAGTCGTGTTTGGCCATGCAGTTGTGGCAGATGTGTTATTGCCTACCCTTACCACCTGGGGACGGCCCGTCAGGAAGTCCAGGATGCAATTGCAGAGGGAGGTGTTTAGTCCCAGGGTCCTTAGCTTAGTGATGAGCTTTGTGGGCACTATAGTGTTGAACGCTGAGCTGTAGTCCAGGAACAGCATTCTCACATAGGTGTTCCTTTTTTCCAGATGGGAAAGGGCAGTGTGGAGTGCGATTGAGATTGCATGATCTGTTGGGGCGGTATGCGAATTGGAGTGGGTCTAGGGCAGTGGTTCTCATCTGGTTTTGCTAATGACAATTGAGTCGTGACCCAATATTATGGACTGTTGATGATTACATTTTGTAATGTTGTATTGCAGCTGCCTTCCTGGGCAGGCTTTACTTGCAAAATAGACTGTTTCAATGGGCTACTATTATGTTATTAAAGAAAGTCATTACACAGCCATTTATCAATTCAAGAGAATAAGCCATTTAATTAGGCGACCAGTTCAGGAGTGGCGTGTAATAAATGATCAGACTCAGAACATGACATCAAAACCAGTCCAATAATGTTAATGAACAGTAACACATACCAGTGTTTTAAAATAGAAAAAACAACAATCATTAGGAATTCTTGATAATTAATTACCGTGTGAATAGTTTCACAACCTTGAAAATATTTTTTAAAGGTGTAATCTTTTATTCAGTTCAATAAAATGTATGAATGTCAGAATTAATTAACAATAATAATTAACATAGTGAACAATAATTCATTAACCTGTTTATTTATTGTGTGTGTGTGGCCTATCAGTGGGAAAGCTGGGGGTGTTACTTCAGTTTGATACGTTTATTGAAGTCTGGGGGGATGGTTGACATGGCAACTTGGAGGTCATGCTGGCTGTCCAGTTTGTTTCTGCTTTTAGTTTTCAGCACGGCCATAGCAGAGAAGCCACTTTCACACAGATAGGTAGTGCTGAACAGTAGCATGATTCCGATTGCATGACAGGTGAGAGCAGGATACTCTCCCTCTACGCTTCACCAGTACTGAGGCAGTGTCATTTCCGGGAAGCGCATGTTCAGTCCGGTATCAAACGACGGCTCCACCAGCTCCACAGCTCTTCTTCGTTGCTTGGCAACGTGACGCTTCCCATCTCCACTCGAAAGGGGTCTTTTCCCTGCAGCTTGACAATATGCTGTTTAATGTTTTTTTTTTTTTTTTTTATGTGTCGCCGTGCGCTTTGTTGATCAGATTCTGAATCTCAAAATCAGCATTGGGAAACCTGTCAATCCTCCTGTTAGAAACATGATTTGCCCAAACGGTAAGCGTCATCTTGAAGGCATCCTCTTTGTCCCTCTGTTCAAATTGATTGTGCCCCCTCCCTTGCAATGACACATTGAGCGAATTCAGATGATCAAAAATATCCAACCTGCGCAATCCATTCCTCACAATCGAAATGTTCGGCCAGAGGTGACTTGTTTTTTGAACGAAACACCGCAATCTCCGCTTGAAGCGCATAAAAGCAACCCAACACTTTACCCCTGGAAAGCCAGCGGACCTCTGCATGATAAAGCACCTGCTGGTGCTCGCTCCCCATATCCCTGCAGAAGGCCTGGAAACACCTGCTTTTCGTGGAACTCTTTTTGATATAGTTGACACACTTGATCACATCCTGTAGAGTGGCGTGGAACTCAGGCACCATGTCCTTCGTTGCCAATTCCTCCCTGTGTAGGAAGCAGTGGTTCCACCTCGCACTCTGTGCTCTCTCCAGGATCCACTTTACTACCCCGGAGTGCTTTCCCGTCATGGCAGCTGCCCCATCAGTGGTCACACCGACGCACCCATCCCAGTCCAGTCCCACGGAGCTAGGTACATATTCATTGTGTTAAAGACAGCCTCTGCAGTGGTGGTGGTGGTGGGCAAATCAGCACTAAAAAGGAACTGCTCCTCGAAGTTATTATCCCAGACGTGTCTGACATAGACCATTAGAATTGCATGGTTAGCCACATCTGTGGATTCATCAAGCTGCAGTGCGAAATGTCCATTTGCACTGATGTGCTCTGATGTCTGCCGCGTTATGACCTCATATGTCCTGTATTCTCCTCCTCATGGTGTCATTGGATAGGGGTATGGTTTTAAGTTTGTTGGCGGCTCACTCTCCCAAGATTTCACTGCACATATCAATCGCAGCAAGGAGTATGAGATCCTCTGCACTGGTGTGGGCTTTTTTGCACTTGATTCTGATTGCAAGACAGGTGAGAGCAGGATACTCTCCCTCTGCGCTTCACCAGAACTGAGGCAGTGTCATTTCCGGGAAGCGCATGTTCAGTCCGGTATCAAATGACGGCTCCACCAGCTCCACAGCTCCTCTTCGTTGCTTGGCAACGTGACGCTTCCCATCTCCACTCGAAAGGGGTCCTTTCCCTGCAGCTTGACAAGATGCTGTTGGGCCACAAGGTTTGGCAATGCGCTGGGCCACAAGATTTGGCTTTTCTTCTACTGTCAATACGTTCTTCAATCAATCTTGTAAGGCGCTGGGCCACAAGGTTTGGCTTTTCTTCTACTGTCAATACGTTCTTCAATCAATCTTGTAAGGCCTCCAGATATTTACATTTTCTTTTTTTTTAAAGTCAGCTGTCTTATTTTTGTGGCTTGGATGCTTGGTGTCCAGATGCCTTTTCATTTTGGAGGGTTTCATGCTCTCATTAGCTAACAGCTCATTGCATAGGACGCACTGCGGTCTACACTCATCCTTCCTGTATTCTGTATATGTAAAACCATATTTGATGAAGTCGGGGTGGTATTTTCTCTTCTTGACAGGGACCGGGTTGTCTGCCTTGTTGTTGACATTGGAAGCAGCAGTAGATTAAAAGGGAGCTGCCCGTTTTAAAAACGTGTCCATTAGTTTACTCTGACAGCTAGCCTACATGAGTTAAATGACAGCTAACTATCCACATGTGCAATGCCTGCAGAACACATCTGCATAGTTAGCTGTCAACCAAGCTAGCTGTCAGAAGATCTGTATTATCTGATTGGATGTGTCACATTTAAAACAAAACAATGTTGCAGAATGACATTTTTATTGGATCAGTGTGTGTGTGTGTGTGTGTCGAGAATGTCATTTTCATTGGATCAGAGAACGTTATTGTATTGGTCAGTGAGTGTGTGTGCAGCGCGAAAACCCTCCGAGACCGAACGTAGCTAGCCATTTCACCATTGCGGACGCGATGCACGTGTAAAGTCAGCAACAATAAGCGGTGCATCCTGTGTGTAGCGGTAACGTTGTGTAAAGTCATCAACAATAAGCAGTGCGGCAGTATCCTTTCAAAATAAAGGTTTTGGTGCGAAGGTTACTTTTCAAAATAATGTTGTTTAAATAAAAAATAATGTATTCTTGCACAAGTTCCTCAACCCTTTAAAATCCTCCCGTGACCCCCAGGTCTAGGGTTTCTGGGATAATGGTGTTGATGTGAGCTATGACCAGCCTTTCAAAGCTCTTCATTGCTACCGACGTGAGTGCTACAGGGCGGTAGTCATTTATGAGGGTTACCTTCGCCTTCTTGGGCACAGGGACTATGGTGGTCTGCTTGAAACATGTAGGTATTACAGACTCGGTCAGGGAGAGGTTGAAAATGTCAGTGAAGACACTTGCCAGTTGGTTAGCGCATGCTCTGAGTACACGTCCTGGTAATCCGTCTGGATTACGTGATCACACAGATCACACAGTCATCCGGAACAGCTGGTGCTCTCATGCATGCTTGAGTGTTGCTTGCCTCGAAGCGAGCATAAAAGGCATTTAGTCCATCTGGTAGGTGTAGTTTCGATGCGCAGGCTGACTGGCATCGTTTGCTTCCCCTCGCTCATCAACTCAGAGTCAAGGATATGTTTTGCATTATTCTAAAAGCCTACTGCAACACGTAGCATGTTTTCGTTTCCGTTACAATACATTCAGTAATAAAGTTATAGTAAATAAAACAGTCCTGTAACAGCTTATTTGTACAAAGTAAAACGTAAAAGAGAATGATACAGTGTCTACCCGCAAGCCGTGCGGTCAAATTATTTGCTAAAAACATGAGCGCCAATGCTGATAAATAGGCATAACACAAACTCGTCATTACACTTTTGTTGTTATAAATTAAATCAACCTCCTTATCATTCAGTTAAGCCTAATTTAAATTCAGTTGTGAAGTGACGTGCACAATTATCGCCCATTCATTATTTTAATATATATAGAACCTTATTTTACCAGGTAAGTTGACTGAGAACACATTCTCATTCACAGCAACAACCTGGGGAATAGTTAAAGGGGAGAGGAGGGGGGATGAATGAGCCAATTGGAAGCTGGGGATGATTAGGTGGCCATGATGGCCAATTTAGCCAGGACACCGGGGTTAACACCCCTACTCGTACCATAAGTGCCATGGGATCTTTAGTGACCACAGAGAGTCAGGACACCCGTTTAACGTCCCATCTGAAAGACAGCATCCTACACACGGTAATGTCCCCAATCACTGCACTGTGGCATTGGGCTAATATTTTTTTAGACCAGAGGAGAGTGCTTCCTACTGGCCCTCCAACACCACTTCCAGCAGCATCTAGTCTCCCATCCAGGGACCGACCAGGACCAACCCTGCTTAGCTTCAGAGGCAAGCCAGCAGTGGGATGCAGTGTGGTATGCTTCAGTGAGGAGGGAGACACATTAGCGCCTGGCTGGGTACCAACATCCTACAGCGCATTGTCTTGCGGGTTAAGTTGTGAATAGGTATGGGGGGAATCGACTCCTAAGATTCAGTATTTTTGGAATGGATGAGACTGATTAGTTGCCGTACTTCCGAGAACACAAACACTTTCATAGCGAGCTAGCAAGGGACGGAGAGAGAGAGAGGATGGGCATGCTGGAATGCTGTATTTCGCAATTTCTTGTCTCGCAACTTCAGTAAAGCAGGGACTATCATCAATGAATAGGCTAGGATATTCTACACGCAACAGACTGAAGACACACTCGCATCATTAGCGAAGAGAAAGAGCAGGCGAGCCAGCTGCACTGTGATTTTAGTTTTGTGAAGGGGGTTAAACATTGTTTTTCCGTTAGGAATCCCAATTTCGTTTAAACGTTCACACCCCTAGGTTCGACCCTCCAAATTATGTTGGGATTTGCATTTTGACCACTTTGGGCATCTCTGTACTCACTGTTGTGGATCAGAATCTTAGAAGGAATGACTCAATGATATATTTTACCAGACAATTATCACAGTTGATTATGACAAAGTATGCCATTACAGTTTGAGAAAATTGTGTTTATTATTGAATTGAATTTATTTTGGGTAACAGACATATACAACAAAATGTACAATGTGGACCCAGAGGATATCACTTAAAAGTATTAATTAAAATGCTTGTTTCCAAAGTGGTCCTCGATGGTAAAAACAATAACACATATAATGATTAAAAGGCAAGACAAAATTACAAATAACCATAAAAATGTATATTGACATCCTAAAAAGTGGCACTATTCACTGCACTTTTCCCTAACCTTAAAAATCTACCAAATTCATTGCACATCATACCTATCATTCAAATCAATACACCTGACCAGCAGTAGGGGGCACAAGGGGCAGTGGAGTGGTTTGTTTTCTTAGACAACCTTGTCCAAATGAAAACCTTTGCCTACTTTTTAAAGCTATTTCTACTTTTTCTTTGCTTGATCTCCAATGGGAGGCTATTCCATAGACAAATGCCTGTATAGAAAAACGTGCTTCTCGCAGTACTGTTTACTCTAGGGATTTTACAAGAAGTAACACTAGCTCTGGGATTGTAACTGTGCTGGTTATAGACCATATCAATGTGGTTTTTCATATAACCTGGGACACAGTCATTTAAGATGTCAAACATATGATTAAGTTTAAGTTGGTCCATTCTGGACTCCAAAGGCAACAAGCCCACCTCCCAGAACTCCTGTACCCCTATATGGGTCCTAGGGGGACATTAAGCATATACCTGATAACATTATTTAGCATGACCTGCATTCTCTTTTTCAGCTTTTTTGATAGCCCACTATACCAAGCAGAGCATGCATAATCAAAATGACACTGAATCAAGGTTGAGACCAGCAGTTTCTTAACTTTGATGTTAAAATATCTAGTGTTTCGATATACAAAAAATCAATTTGTTCGCCATTTTAGAAAGAATTTTAGCAGCAATCAGGTCTCCAGAAAGGGATTGATCTAGGGACACACCAAGATAAGTTACACTTGTTTTAGATTCAATCTCCTTGCCTGCACAGTTGACCTTTATCTTATCAGCCCTAAGCAATCTACGTTTTGTTCCAAACGAAACCGATTCAGTTTTTCCCAAATGTAGCGACAATTTGTTGTCAGTCAACCAATCTCTAACAAAATGCAATTCCTTACTCAGGGTCTCCTCTATGTAAACTGTATCCTTCCCTGATACCAGTATGGCTGAGTCATCAGCATGAAGCAGGAGTTTGCACTTTACTGGATCTGGCATATCAAAAACGTATATAAGAAATAAGAGAGGCCCTAAAATGGATCCCTGCGGTACTCCACAGGATATTTATTTGGTCTCTGACAGAACATCACCAACATTACATACTTGTGTTCTGCTGGTCAGATAAGACCTAAACCAATTCACTGCTACATCATTTAGACCCATGCATTTCAGTTTCATCAGGAGAATATCATGGTCCACAGTGTCAAGTGTATAGTAGTAGAAAGTGTACAGTGACCATACCTGTATAGTTCCCCTTCTCACTTCCCTGCTTGAGGTGGTCAAAAAGGTGGATAAGGCAAGTATCAGTGGAATGAGCTGTTCTAAAGCCAGATTGGGAGTTCATAAAGAAGTTTGTGCTCGAGAAGGTATCCCTCAAGTTGATTCAAAACGAATATCTCAACAACTTTGGATAAGGTGCTGAGGATCGACACAGGCCTGTAGTTTCCTACATTTGTTTTACTGCTCTTCTTGTGGAACGGAACCACCCTGGCTGTTTTGAGATCATTGGGAAATGTACCACTACTAATAGAAAGGTTTACAATATGCGTTATCATTTTAGCAGTGACACAAGCACTATCCTTTATGAATCTTGCAGGAAGGTTATCCAGCCCAGTTGCATGGTTTGTGCTCATTAAGCACAGTAGATTGGAAACTTTGTCCTCTGTTACCATGCACAGCTCAAACAAATCATTTGTGATATCTTTGCTATGGTAAAAGTTGTTAATGAAAGACTGGCCGTAGTGTCCAGAGCAGGTCGGTAACTTCTTTACCAGAGATGAGGCTATAGTGGTAAAAAAATGTGTTAAAATAATTTGCAGCCTTTGCTTGGTCATAACATAAAACATCATCAATATTCAGGCCAATACTACAGGATTTTACCTTATGGGAAGTTTTTTGAGCCAATGTCCTTTTAACATTTTCCACAGTTTACGAGGCTGATATAAGTTGACATTAACATCGTCTATGTAATGTTGGGATTTGGCCTTATCCATTTTGTATCTTGCCTGGTTTCTCCAGTTAATATAACCATCATGATCTTGTTGTAGATTTGTCCTTTGAATTTGGCCAGGTAGCGATCCCTTTTCCTTATGAGGTCTAAGATCTCGGAAGTGATCCATTTCCCTGACCGCTGTTTGATTTGAATTTGTTTCATCGGAGCCAGAGTCGAGTGCAGACAAACATATCTTTAAAAAGATACCAAGCTTGATCAACATCATCACAGTTTAGTACATGAGACCAATCCAAATTTCCAAGTACTTCTACAAAACATTCCTTTGAGTATTGTTTCATAAACTGTACCTTCATGTAGTTATTACCTGGCTCAAGTAGCATTTTGGATTTCTTACGGGTACAGTAGGTTCCCATATGATTACTAAAACCAATATTTAAGACTCCTGACTGACAGACGTTCTCTTGGTCTGATACAATAATCAAATCCAAAGTTGATTTACTGTCAATACACACCCGGGTTGGCTCAACAATCAGTTGTTTCAGTCCAAATAAACTGATTAAAGTTATACAGGGCATTTACTAGTGTACATTTCTTGGGTGATAACTGCACATTTGTATTAAAATTGCCAAGCAGAATACATTCCCTATCAGCAAATACATTGTGATCACAGCAATTCGATTCAAGTAAATCATAGAAATTATTCTGCTTAGGAGGCCGATAGCACACACCAACAAGTATAGGACGACATTTAGGAAGAAGTATATCTACCCACGCAACCTCAAGTCCATCCATTTTCAGATCTGAACGAGGGTTAAAATGCACATAATTCCTAGTAAAAACACACACCCCGCCACCGTTTCAGTTTTGGTCAATTCTATGAATGCTATAACCAGCTAGCTCAACATCATTGTCCTCAATTGACCCATCGAGCCATGTCTCAGTCACAGCAACTACTGCAGCCCGGGTGTTAGAAGCGAGGAGTTTTAATTCCTCTTCTGTCTCATCTAGATTGCACTCATCATCCCTGCTTGTGTCCAGCATCCCAATGTTTGGCACTGCGTTTAAACAGCATACATTGCAAACAAGTGAAATGTTACTTTGAGACTTTACAGCTTAATCATATGGGTTGGATATCTCCACACTTTGTGTACTTAGCACTTTATGCTTATGTTGCAGAACAATACATTGCATGGGGGCGCAAAGATGCAGTCCTCCATAACCACAGGCCAGGCATTCAGGCTGTAATCAATACTTGAACGGATAAATAACTACTGGTGACAACCCAAAACTAGCAGTCACAGTCAACAGCCCTTAAGAACTGGTGTTTTGCCACATTCTTACAATATATTTAGTTATTGATGTTGTGGCTGGGGAATACCATCATGAAAATTGCACACACAAAAAGAAGAAAGAAAAACAACTCAATATCGTCATGAAAGATTGTTATTTTGTGTATCAGGTGGTAGTGTTTTCAAATGTACTTTTTTCCAGGCTTTCTCCGAATTCTCCTTCTCTTGTCTGTGATCCAGATTGCAGACCTGAAGGCAGCGAGGCAGCTGGCCTCAGAGATCACGTCTAAAGGAGCGTCGCTCTATGACCTGCTGGGAAAGGAGGTGGACCTGAGGGTGAAGGAAACACACACAGGCTCAGAAACACCACGGCTGGGGAAAGCAATCAGACGTTTTGACTGTATCTCTGGGACTGCGGGTGACAGTTTGACAGCCCCCCAATATGTGGAGATGTTACCAAAGACGTCTGTATCATTTACAATATTTGACACGGCACTTCATTTGAGAAGACATTGGAACACTGCAGATAGGCACACACTGGTTACTTAAACGTTTTAAACCCACAAACTTTGGAGAAGAATGTCTATGTAATTATTCACCAGAATATCTTTGACAGATTATAATGACATGTTGTCTTTGAGAGTTGAACCTTATCATGTTGATCCTGTCTCTTTTCATTATAGGAGATGAGAACTGCTGCCATCTCCAGACCCTTGGAGATCAACGAGACAGAGAAGGCCCTCAGAGCAGCCATCAAGGAAGTTTTGGTGTGTATTGTCTTGAGAGACACATCACACACACACGGCTCATATCTGTCTTTTCCACCACCATTCCCTCTCTAGCTACTCTAGCTAATGTATATGTGTCTTGCTCTGTGGTCCAGGAAAGCGTGGATAAAACCAAAGACATGCTGAACAACGTGTCCTCCGATGAGACCAGCCTGGAGTCCAAAATGGAGAAGAAGAAACAGGAGCTGGAGAGGAATCAGAAGAGACTCCAGACTCTACAGAGTGTACGGTGAGTTAAGAGAAACTTCTGTGGGAATTAAGTTAACTCAACCATATTCAGAGCAGATCGCTTTTTGTTATCTCATAGAATATTACTCACATCACATACACTGAGTGTACCAAACATTAAGAACACCTTCCTAATATTGATTTGCACCCCCCCTTTTGCCCTCAGAACAGCCTTAATTCGTTGAAGGGTGGGTCTCCTTGTTTTGTTTAGAGGGTCCGGGGTCCCACCCGGAGATTTTAGATGTAGGACTGAGAAGCTCAGTTCTGGTGAATTTTTAAAAGGACATTGTACTCCAAAATGAATGAAAATACAATTATGCTGACACCATCTAAGATTTAATTTCCACCTCGAGACGTTCATGGCCCAATAACATATTGGTAAAATTATTTGTACAAATTATTTTAACATATTGGACCATGAAATTAATTTCACATATTGGACCATGCATGGTCCATATTTTCAGGTATAATAACAATAAGCATTATCACCTTGCAGCCCAACTGATGCAGCATATTGGCTCTAAATAAATAGGCTGAAGCATGGGGTTGCCTATCTACATTTACTAGGGATGTGCATCTTTCCCTTTCAAGACGATTTGATAGGTATCTAGATACATGGGTTCCGATACGTTTTAGTTTGAAATGATTCGGTATGAGTCGGTTTGATTAGAGAACGAATCAATGCGATTCAGTTCGATGCGAAACGATTTGATGCAGTAACATTTGTTGCATAAACATTCCTTTTCCATTCTAAATTAAAATCTGCTGATGATGGAGTTCAAGTGTGTCTATGGTGTATGTGCTATGTAGGCACATGAGCTGAGCCATAAGGGAGACTAGGCATCTACCACCCCACTACCACCTTTTTTTGTCCCCTCATTTGGTTCTGAAATCCCCATCACCCACTAATTACATTTTACATTTTAGTCATTTAACAGACGCTCTTATCCAGAGCGACTTAGTGAGTGCATACATTTTCATACTGGCCCCCATGGGAATCGAACCCACAACCCTGGCGTTGCAAACGCCATACTCTACCAACTGAGCTACACGGGACTAATTAACTTGTCATTTTTGCAGATTAAGTGTTTGAGCTAGTAAGGTATTAATATTTATATATCATTTGAAAATTAGCTATGACATAGGCAATGAATATATAGCACAACTTTGGATTTCACCCCCATCTCAAAATCGAATGGTTTTGACAGTTTGGACGTTTTTACGGAGTGATCTTCTTTCTTCGGCCATGCATTGCACCACGCAAAAGTGATCCTCATTATGAAATGATCAACTTCACCCTGTATATCTAAAAATGACAATATACAGTACACTGATTATTTAAAGCAAAACTACTGGTGAGGGTGAACCTGAACAGTCAAAATAGAATCTATTGTAAACCCTGATCAGCATGTATAGCCAGATGTCTCCGGTAGTTTACTTTCGTTCTTGTAAAACACAAATTTCAACTGCGCATAGATAACAATAACCTAGCAAATTACACAGGTTGTCACTCAACTAATAAAGCCTAATATCACGCAAGCCATTTTAGCATTTGAATGCTGAAGGTGCCGCCCAGATGTGCAAGATCAGGAACAGGCTGCCTACCTCGTGAAGCTGGGCACAGTGTGCCGTTTGACGAGGCTAAGGTTACTGCCTGGGGTGGTTAGGTATGCAAAATGACTTGTAGATCAATGAATCATCACCGTTGTATGCAGTTCGACACTAAAGGAGAAGGCGCATCAGTTGTCACTGTAATGTTTGAATACATTTTCTGACCGATGCATGCTACATTTGGATCAGTTTGGGTCCGCGGACTGATACACTTGTATCTTAAACATTTGAATCAGGGACCGATGGGTATCGGTGAATCGTTACATCCATAGCATTTACCCTATTGGGCTAACCATTAGCTAGATCCCAAATATGATCTTTTAACTAGTTAGTATTTATTTGATTAATTTTAATGTCCCCAAAAATGTAATCCATTAGCCTCACTCTTCCCAATGCACTCACAAAGAATTGCAGCTAAGGCAATAAGCTTAACCATGCTGCTGCTAAAAACTCTGTGTTTAAAATGGTGCAGTTTGCGCATATTTAGGAGTTGGGATCCCCCCGTTTTTAACAAAGGCTATTAAAACTGCTGTTTTCACGATTGCAAGAATTGTGCATTGACTGCTTATCAGAATGCATGTTTCCCTCCCTATGGCACTCGTAACTTGAATGCGCATCGAGAGGAATATTTATCTCGCATAGAACACACAACAACAAGTCGAAGAGGTAAATAGATAAACTATTCTACAATGGTGTTGTCAGATTTTCTATTCATTACTTGTTTTGTTTGCAGAGGGAAAGTAAATGTGGACTGTTGTAGCATCTTCAAAGTGAATTTTTGAGCCACAGATAAATGACTGCAGCGGAAACACTGCTCATATAGCATAAGCCATGGCAAATGTGTAGAATTGCAGCAACATTTTGTCACTGCGGACAACAGGAAGGCCTCTAAAATTTCAGTCTGCGACCACACCATTCATTTGCCACGACCACCACCTACGGCCCATTAGAAAGAATAAGATGAAGCTCCGGTAATATGGAGAACTATTGAAAGATAGCTAATATGCGTTTTTCTACATTATAATGGACACGATGCAACCTTTGGTAGGTAGGCAGCTGGCAGGCTATGGTACAGCAAAGCCAAGTCAGCCCGTGCTCATGGTTCTCACAGGGGAAGTGAAATGATAGGCTACAATGACTTTGCTCATGATCATGCACACCGCAAATGACATGTAACTATAAGTTCCTTACATTTTATTTCACGGGTGCCTTTTCATTATCTTGATAGACACTTGTGGAGGTGCAAAACAATATTATTTAAATTTTCTCAGGCGGCCAAGTGTACACAAGGGTATTTGTCTCATCTCAGTCGCGAATAGGACTCGTTTTGCAGCAGTTTCTGATTAATAAACAATTCCATGCTGGTAGGTGGTAATGTTCAAATAAAACCCAGCCCTTAAACAACACATAGGCTGAAAATTATGTGTATGTCATATCATAGGAAAAGACACCACATTCACACGGATTTGCATGAAGTGGGCAGTTCAGATTTGTCACTTCAAGGCCAAATATATCATACTTGGGCTAAAACGATTACTTTATTGACTTAAATCATTGGGTAAGCTCTGCCCATCATATTTCAGCTCAATAAATGTGATTTCTACTGGTGTGGGTGTTTTAAAGACATTGTAGGTGGCAAATCCAGACAGAAAGGTGTACGGTAGCACATTGATTAAGGTGGATTTACATTTACATTTTAGTCATTTAGCAGACGCTCTTATCCAGAGCGACTTACATGAGCAATTAGGGTTAAGTGCCTTGCTCAAGGGCACATCGACAGATTTTTCACCTAGTCGGCTCGGGGATTAGAACCAGCGACCTTTCGGTTACTGGCACAACGCTCTTAACCACTAAGCTACCTGCCGCCGATTTGTGACCCAACTCTATACATCTTTGTTTTTCTATGCTCTGATTGACATTTGATGTGACCAAAACATCATAGATATAGATGGAATGTGCTCAACTCTGTTCTCACAAGCAAAAACAAAACAATTATAGCAGGGTTGTAAAACCCAAGAAACAATCCCAATAACTGAGTAAAAAAGGACAGCACACACTTGGTAAAGTTGCAACAAATTAATTTAATTTGATTATGTAAGGTAATATACATGAGCGGAGTGGTTTAGAGAATCCTTGGATGCTGTTGTAGTGCATCTTAAAGACATGCTCCGGTACTTTGGCGACTAGTAAGTCTTTTTTAAACCTCCCCGTTTGGTTTGGATGTGCCAATGTGTAGTTCATGCATGCATAATCTATGAGCAGAATTACTGTCTTAACTCAGTTAGCCACGAAATCCCTAGTTTGAAAGTAACTGTTTTCTGGAAGCTGTGCGGCGCCATTTTCCCTACATTTACCCCCATGTGGGCCAGCCACCTAGCAATTTAAATTTCAGCCAATGAGCTTCAGCCCCTCACCATTTGAGTGACAGCTAGCAAGACACACACAGTAGAGCCCGAGCAATGACGTGGTGCACATATCTGCACATTTGTGATGTACTTTTTGGGGACCACTTTTGGCTCGTGGATGCTAATTTCAGAACTACTGGCTAAAAAGTATACAAAAGTACCGGAGAATATATTTAAACAGGTAGGCCAAGCGCTTGCTTGCCCACCTGAACACACCCACTTTGCACTTTACAACTGCGTTGGGTGCTTCCTGGAGGGGCGGAGTCCTCAGAGCTGCCCTTGGAAGTTTCTACCTTCCTCTTCCTCTGCTGGGGCCTCTCTGCCCCCTCCTTGTCCTCCCTGCTATCCGGAGCCTTTTTCTAGACTTGGACTGTGCACAGGACCAACAGCCAGAGGTCGTCTTCGTAGTCATAGTCCGAGATCCTCCATTGGCCTTTCACCCTCTCCCCTTCTTGGTTGAAAACCTGAGAAGCAACCCGCCGGCCTCCACACCGGCCCTCCACACCGGCCCTCCACACCGGCCCTCCACACCGGCCCTCCACACCGGCCCTCCACACCGGCCCTCCACAGCAATCCAGTTCCACTCAGACCCAGCTTTGTTTCGAGACTACCCAGGATTTGAATGTCTCAGGGTAGTGGGGAAGTGCCATCGAGATGCCTCGGGTACTAGTATCCCTCCTTGCCTCTATTGTAGTGTTGTTTCTCAGAAGCCCTGTTAGTGAGGCACCTGGAACAGTGGTGCGCTGGGTGTTCGGGTTGGCCACCTGCATGTCCAGGATAACGAACTTTCCATCCATATCCATACCACCTGGAAAGAGATGTCAGACAAAATGGTCAGACCTGACCACAAATTGAAGACTCATGATTTCCCATAGAGTTCAGGGCTAAAATTATAATATAATCTATAGGCTAACTTTTGTCCCGAAGACTGTCCTGACTGCACCTATAAAATAGCTAATTTGCAGTGCACTATGCTATATCTCAATATTTGTTCATAAATAACTGGGAAGCGTTAGAGAAAAATATATCATTTCATTTTTATTAGAAATGAATATCGTGTACAATGCTTTCAAAGTTAATTCCACAACTTTGCCCATGAGTTACGCATGACGATAAAACGTGCTTACTGCTTAACTATTTTCTCTTGCACAACAATACATTTGAGCAGGGTGCTAGTCTAGAAGCCAAGAAACAACAATCCCATAATATAGAAGTGAAAGAGTCCAACACTCTTGAAATAGTTGCAGATAAAAAAAAAAAATTACATTAATTTTTCAAAGTGTCTCAATAGCGCACATTCCTCAGTGTGTGTTTGTGCATACTAGTTCTCTCTCTCTCTCTTTCTCGCTTTCGCTCTCTCTCTCTCTCACACACACTCACACACCTGTTCCTCTCCCAGGCCAGCATTCATGGATGAGTATGAAAAGATTGAGGAGGACCTGCAGAAGCAGTACGAGACCTACGTGGAGAAGTTCCGTAACCTGAGCTTCCTGGAGCAGCAGCTGGAGGACTACCATAGACTGGAGCAGGAGAGGTTTGAGGTGAGCGAGCGTCCTCATCAGTCATAGGGTTGTATTGGGTTGGTACCATAGACGTCAGGGGCCTGTTCAAGAGGGTGCAATGTTATGGAATGTTCACAAATATACCGGTAACTGCCAAAATAAAGGGAACACCAACATAAAGTGTCGTAATAGGGCGTTGGGCCACCACGAGCCAGAACAGCTTCAATGCACCTTGACATAGATTCTACAAGTGTCTGGAACTCTATTGGAGGGATGCGACACCATTCTTCCACAAGAAATTACATCATTTGGTTTTTGTTGATGGTGGTGGAAAACGCAGTCTCAGGCGCTGCTCCAGAATCTCCCAAAAGTGTTCAATTGAGTTGAGATCTGGTGACTGAGACTGACATGGCATATGGTTTACATAATTTTCATGCTCATCAAACCATTGAGTGACCACTCGTGCCCTGTGGATGGGGCCATGGTAGCCAAAATAATGGCCTACCCAGCATTTTTATACATGACCCTAAGTATGATGGGATGTTAATTGCTTAATTAACTCAGGAACCACACGTGTGGAAGCACCTGCTTTTAATATACTTTGTATTTTTCATTTACCCAAGTGTTTCCATTATTTTGGCTGTTAACTGTATTATGTAGAACAGATGTGAATGTCTGTCATGCAGAATAGGGAATCTCGTCTTTTCTATATGCAACATTGTGAACATTTCACCTCACTGAATACACCCCTGGTATGAATTCTACTGGCTGTTACCTAGAAACATGGTCTTAGCTGATATATTGTGATTGACAGATGTACCAAAGGCAATATCTACTTCTTTATTTTGCTCTATCTATCTCAGGAGACTGAGAACACCCTTAGGATGATGCAGCACAAACTGCGGGAGGAGGAGAGGAGGCTGATGAGGAGTGGAGGTGACACAAACACTCAGTAACATATACCTGTCTGACACAAACACTCAGTAACATATACCTGTCTGACACACACACTCAGTAACATATACCTGTATGACACACACACAATAAACCACAATCAAGAGCACACACTTGATGAAACACACTCAAATCGATGCTCAAACACACTCACACATAATTAGAAAAGTAATAATTCCTATTCAGAGGTCAAATGAATGATGCTTGCAATGCTCATGTAATATTCTTTGAATGCCATGCTTTAATAGATACATACTGCCCTTAGCCGCAATGCTCTAGTTCTATGCCTCCATAGCCAAAGACGAGGACTCCGATATGGACATCCCTGAGGACGAGGGTTCAGACAGTGATATGGAGGATCGTAGACCCTCTAAACCCCGTCCCACCAGAAACGCCCCCATGACAGGTACTAACTCTCTACTCTAACGTTACCCCTTTTCCTAAGGCAGAGGGGCAAATTCCAGCCAGGCGATTTCCAGCCCAGCTCCAACACACCTGATTTAAACTACAGTAAACGGTTGTGTATTTTAATCAGGTGTGTTAGACTGCAGAACGGCTGGAGAAAAAAAAAAACTCCAGGTCCAGAGTCGCCCACCCCTGTCCCACGGGGACCCAGCTACCTCATATCACACTTGACCCTTAAACCTCTATCCTAACAGGGAGAGGTGGAGCGCGGCTCGTCGGCAACATGCAGGGTGGAGACAGCGAGGAGGTCAGTAAAGGGGTAACCATAACGATGGCGAGCGCTGAACATTTCTTATTCACTCCTTTTTATAAACTCAACTCATTCACTCCATATTAAGTGATACCTACCGGTGAGGTATGATTACAGTCGATAGAGGAACATGTCAGTCTGAGACTGAGGACAAAAGGACAGTACATCCAATAGAAATGAGACTGGGAGGCAAAGGTGCTTGGTAATCCGTGTAATTTATTCCTGAGAGAGTGTGTTGTAAGTGTTGCTATAGTCTCCAGTGTCTAGAGATGGATTTGTCTCCCATGACTTTGTGTATGGAGACTTCTCTGGCTAGATAAACAGAGCCTTCCAGAATCTTTTATTTCCCTTCCTCATTTCTCTCCCATCTGTTCTTTCTACCTATCCTGTTCCTCATCATCTCATATTTCTCAATGTTATCCCCTTTTCACTTAATTTCTCTCCTTTTCTCTCCACCATTCGTATTTTAAAAGCTCAAAGCGGTTGCGTCCAACTCACTTCCTCACGCCCCCACACAGAGGAAAGGAAAGGTTGGTGTGGGACCATGGGATCTAGTCTGTGGCATCTAATTGCCCCTAGCCATGATGGATGTGAACTGAGCAGGTCACATAAGTGGATCCGATTGGCTAGCTCATTAGATGGCAACATATAATTGGTAGTAGCTTAGAGTTTGGTTGCACTGCACAGTGAAATGTTTCCCTAGATGGTCGAATTAGCACTAGCTGAGCATTACTCCACGTACCCTGTATGTGTGTAGAATTTCCTGAACCTCCTAGAACCCATCAGACTTTAGCTTGTGGTTGTGTTAAGGCATTATCATGCTAAGGTACGAACCTTGTTAGCTAACTCTGTCTGCTCTTTCAGACAGAGGACAGTGAGATAGACGTGGACGAGGATGAGGAAGGTGAGGAGGAGAACGAGGACCTGGAGGACGACAACGACAGTCTAGAAGTCCCGGCGCCCAAGCCATCCCGGCCCTCCAGGGGGCCCTTGAGGCCCCAGCTATTAGAGGAGAGCGATAACGACTTTTAAGCTGACACACACACATCAACCAACACTGTATCACAGCTTGTGAGCACTGAGGACAAACAACATACTTTATTATAACCTAATAATTTAATAAACAATATATAATTTGTATTATATAATAAACTGTCTGTCCAATCTGAGCTTCCTGTTCGTGAGTGTCATCTAGCTCCGCAGTCCACCACTCAGTAGTAAATAACTGAATCATCTTAATGGAACGAGTGGCACGAGAGCTAGCACTCCTCAGTTCTCACACAGGCACGTAACCTTGGAGACTTCCTGCTGAGCGGTGATTGGACAGACCAGCAGCCGGAGCCACATCCACTCATTTTGACAAATCACCTTCACTCTGCTGATCCGGCCCTCTTCTCTCTGGTTCCCCCGTTTATCATCACAATACAAACCCGGCATCATACTGCAACGATAAATTCATTATCATTCCAGTTTTTACATATTTATAAAATATGACATTTTGACTCAATAAAAAAGTATTTCATTCATTTAACCCTGGTTGAGTGTGTGTGTGTTGCTTGTGGTAAGACATAATGCATGGGAATGTGTCCTGGAAGGCACTGCTGCCTGTTTTTATACATACTGCTCTTACAGTCGTCAAGAGACAGTTATCCGCTGAGCCAACAACAGTCTGTAGGCTGGGGAAAAAGTGAAGTACGTGGCATGTCAATATTGCTAAATAATCCAATAAAATATGCATAACCTAGAGAGCTACCACCCTGTAGGTTTAAACTCGAACCCTAATATAGCACACCTGATTCTAATAATTAGCCCGTTGATGGGCTGAATCAGGTTGTCGCCACAGAGAGGAAGAGCTGAAGCGAGAGGATTTACTCTGCCCAAAATCTGTCCACGAAAATAAGACCAGGAAGTTAGGAATTTTTGTATGGCAATCAATTTGGTCAACAAAAATGTTTATTGTTCATTTTGATACGTGAGGCTTATTTGATTGAATTGAAGTTTCGTGATGGTTAGGTTATTACGAATGCACTGACATAAGTGGATGCATGTGGCATTTCTGCAAAAAAAGTAATACTTTATATCGGAGTTGTGCCCTGTGGTCACACGCGTATCTGCACTCTCACTGGCTAGAATGGTCCCACCTGATCAAAGCCTCCTCCCGCTTGCTTCCATCTTTGAGGACATGTATTTCCATTGTTAGAGGAGTCACTACTATCTTTTCAATATAATAGATCATCTTTGGTCTCTGCGAACGCGGAAACATGCCTTTAAAAGGTTCATAGCTGACAAAGCAAGAGCGGATTGAATTCCGGTTTATGATACAGATTGACATCTGCATAGCGTTGTTTTGGCAGTGTCGGAACTGCGAGCTGTCAAATCCACAAGAGGCTCATTACGTGACCTTATCGCAGACACTGCCATTGGATGCAACGAAACGACACTTGCCTATACATCCCATGCAGTCACGTTACAAGTTCAAACATTCGAATTTGACTGATCGGCGTAAATCCCCCCCATCCAAATTAACATGAAAACGTATATTAGCCCAACATAAATGGTTTGACATTTGAGTCATTATTTCTAACATCAACAGAGCATACTTGAACTTCTAACGTAAAGGGATAATAAGGAAGGGAGTAGTTTGACACGTGCGCAACCGCTTACTGATATGTCAGCTCATACCGCAGTTACACCTCCAACATCATCAAAACATCTGCTATTCCGTTTAACTGTCGATCTAATTGAATCCTTCATCTTTTCATGAAATACTAAAGCTTGCTATAGTATAAAATACATTTTATATATGTCATTGCTTTGTTTTAGTAATACAACCTTTCTTTTTGGGGGTGTGATTAGCACTATGAGCTTTATCTCAATATCAATTCAAGCACTTCTTTAATTACTAGTTAGTCAAGTGAAGGAACATTAGAGTAAACTATAGAGTATCAAGAAAAGGCGTCCTGATGGGATGAAAGTTTCATACACGATCAACACTGCTGCCCTGTATAGTACTGTAGCTAGGAATCATTACTGTATACAGTACTATATACAGTAGGCTAAATATGTGACTTACTGTAGCTAGTGAGATCTTTGCCATCTGAGCGTGAAGGTCACTGCACAGTACAGTATCTTCACAGTAGGGTACTGTATCTTCCAGTATGTATGGTGCACACATCATATATCCTGCATGAACTGTATATGTCACGTCACACACATTTTCAATTCATATAAAGGCATTGTATATGTAGGTGCTTTAAATGTGTTTATTAGGAAAATAAATGTACATAAATAATATTTAAATGTAATTAGCTGTAAATCAATGTACACAATTCCCCCCGACAGTACCAATGTAATAGATCTTAAATGAAGACCCACAACAAATATCCCTGCGGTTTGTCTTTGTGGCTGTCCGTCAGAAGCTAGGTCCAATGAGCCAGGCTGATGGGTAGCCTCTGAAATTCTTACTCTACATGTCCATTGCAAAGACAAAGATTTCTCCATGGGCAATGGATGTGTTCAGAAGGGTGAAACGTGTTCAGAACATTGCAAAGTATTGACCTGGCACGAGAATGATGGTTCTATATAATACATGTTATATATCAATGTATAAGTATGAAAATGTATGCACTCACTAACTGTAAGTCGCTCTGGATAAGAGCGTCTGCTAAATGACTAAAATGTACTGTAATGTTTAACCCTCCTGAATAAGCCCCTGGTGACCCATGGCCTTTGACCTCTTGTGTCCCTCCTGGTCAGATCTCCACCACACAGTCTGGAGAGTTGGTTCTGATGGCATCAGAGATGACCTTTGCTCCTGACTCTCCGATGCCGTTCCCCTGCAAGCTGGAGGAGTGGAGGAGCATCCATTAATGCCTGAGTGAGTACACACTCACGCATGCACAAACCCTTTTACATACCTTTTATATACAATATACAGTCCACACCAAACCATGTATGAAAAGTCAGCAGGATACACTCACTTTATATAAGTTAGCTGGTGGTTTCCTTTCAGGGCTGTGGCGATGAATATGGCTCCATCCATTCCCAGAGAGTTCTCCTGCAGACTGCACATACATTACATGCATCAAAGGCTCATGTAGAATCCAACATGAGGTCTAAGGCACAACCAGACAAAAAACACTCAAAAACAAGACAACAAGTCCATTTGAAAGTAATGTATTGTGGCAGCACTCTGAAATTGCTATCAATAAGGGAACTGTATGAACTTGTGAATACATGTGCGTGGTTGTGTCTGTATTTGAATGTCTGTATCAAATGCTTTCTAATCAAGCCTTTCATGTGCTCTCGCTCTCCCTCTGACTCAGTACTTAGATGAACTAAGCACAACAAATGAAATGTACCCACACACAATTACTATTTACATTCCTCTACGTATTTATTTGGACAGTGAAGCTAAAAGTTTTAATTTGGCTCTATCCTCCAGCAATTTGGATTTGAGCTAAATGGCATATTATTATTATATTATTAGATCAAATGTTTTATATGAGGCGACAGTACAGAATGTCACCTTTTATTTGAGGGTAATTTCATACCTGTTTTACCATTTACAAATGAAAGCACTTTATGTACGTAGTCCCCCCATTTGACGGTATCATAAGTATTTGGACCAATTCACTTATAGTGTATTACATTTAGTAGTTGGTCCGATATTCTTAGCATGCAATGACTACATCAAGCTTGTGACTCGACAAACTTGAATAGAATATGTTCAGAAACATATTATATTCTTATTTACAATAAAATAATACAAATGTACCATTCATTTCTATTGGGCACAACATCATCTGAAACACAAACAAAACAAACTGCAAATGCATCCAACAAGTTTGTAGAGTCACAAGCTTGATGTAGTCACTGCATGCTAGGATTATGGGACCAAATATAAAACTTTTGACTGAATTGAATACACTATAAGTACATTTTTCCAAATACTTATGCTACCTTCAAATGGGAGGACTAGATAACCTGGGGAGGGAGGACTAGATAACCAAGAACTCTAAGATAACCTGCCTAAATGACTACCGACCCGTGGCACTGACGTCTGTAGCCATGAAGTGCTTTGAAAGACTGGTCATGGCTCACATCAACAGCATAATCCCAGAAACCCTAGACCCACTCCAATTTGCATACCGCCCCAACAGATCCACAGATGATGCAATCTCTATCGCACTCCACACTGCCCTTTCCCACCTGGACAAGAGGAACACCTACGTGAGAATGCTATTCATTGACTACAGCTCAGCATTCAACACCATAGTGCCCTCAAAGCTCATCACTAAGCTAAGGATCCTGGGACTAAACACCTCCCTCTGCAACTGGATCCTGGACTTCCTGACGGGCCGCCCCCAGGTGGTAAGGGTAGGTAACAACACATCTGCCACACTGATCCTCAACACGGGGGGCCCCTCAGGGGTGCGTGCTCAGTCCCCTCCTGTACTCTCTGTTCACCCATGACTGCATGGCCAGGCACGACTCCAACACCATCATTAAGTTTGCCGACGACACAACAGTGGTAGGCCTGATCACCGACAACGATGAGACAGCCTATAGGGAGGAGGTCAGAGATCTGGCCGTGTGGTGCCAGGACAACAACCTCTCCCTCAACGTGACCAAGACAAAGGAGATGATTGTGGACTACAGGAAAAAAAAGAGGACTGAGCACGCCCCCATTCTCATCGACGGGGCTGTAGTGGAACAGGTTGAGAGCTTCAAGTTCCTTGGTGTCCACATCACCAACGAACTATCATGGTCCAAACACACCAAGACAGTCGTGAAGAGGGCACGACAAAGCCTATTCCCCCTCAGGAGACTAAAAAGATTTGGCATGGGTCCTCAGATCCTCAAAAAATTCTACAGCTGCACCATCGAGAGCATCCTGACTGGTTGCATCACCGCCTGGTATGGCAACTGCTTGGCCTCTGACCGCAAGGCACTACAGAGGGTAGTGCGTACGGCCCAGTACATCACTGGGGCAAAGCTCCCTGCCATCCAGGACCTCTATACCAGGCGGTGTCAGAGGAAGGCCCTCAAAATTGTCAAAGACTCCAGTCACCCTAGTCATAGACTGTTCTCTCTGCTACCGCACGGCAAGCGGTACCGGAGTGCCAAGTCTAGGTCCAAAAGACTTCTCAACAGCTTCTACCCCCAAGCCATAAGACTCCTGAACAGCTAATCATGGCTACCCGGACTATTTGCACTGCCCCCCCACCCCATCCTTTTTACGCTGCTGCTACTCTGTTAAGTATTTATGCATAGTCACTTTAACTCTACCCACATGTACATATTACCTCAACTAGCCGGTGCCCCCGCACATTGACTATGCAACGGTACCCCCCTGTATATATAGCCTCCCTACTGTCACTTTATTCTATTGTATATATAGCCTCCCTACTGTCACTTTATTTTTTACTTCTGCTCTTTTTTTTCTCAACACTTTTTTGTTGTTGTTTTATTCTTACTTTTTTGTTTAAAATAAATGCACTGTTGGTTAAGGGCTGTAAGTAAGCATTTCACTGTAATGTCTGCACCTGTTGTATTCGGCGCATGTGACCAATAAAATTTGATTTGATTTGATTTGATTTGATATATAAAGTGCATTCATTTCTAAACAGTAAAACATACACTACCGGTTAAAGGTTTAAGAACTCATACTCATTCAAGGGTTTTTGTTTATTTTTTTACTATTTTCTACATTGTAGAATAATAGTGAAGACATCAAAACTATGAAATAACACATATGGAATCATGTAGTAACCAAAAAAGTGTTAAACAAAACAAAATATATTTGATATTTGATATTCTTCAAATAGCTTTTGCCTTGATGACAGTGTTGCACACTCTTGGCATTCTCTCAACCAGCTTCATGAGGTAGTCACCTGGAATGCATTTCAATTAACAGGTGTGCCTTCTTAAAAGTTAATTTGTGGAATTTCTTTCCTTCTTAATGCGTTTGAGCCAATCAGTTGTGTTGTGACAAGGTATACAGAAGATAGCCCTATTTGGTAAAAGACCAAGTCCATATTATTGCAAAAGACCAAGTCCATATTAAGGCAAGAACAGCTCAAATAAGCAAAGAGAAACGACAGTCCATCATTACTTTAAGACATGAAGGTCAGTCAATACAGAACATTTCAAGAACTGAAAGTTTCTTCAAGTACAGTCGCAAAAACCATCAAGCACTATGATGAAACTGGCTCTCATGAGCACCGCCACAGGAAAGGAAGACCCAGAGTTACCTCTGCTGCAGAGGATAAGTTCATTAGAGTTACCAGCCTCAGAAATTGCAGCCCAAATAAATGCTTCACAGAGTTCAGGTAACAGACACCTCTCAACATCAACTGTTCAGAGAAGACCGTGTGAATCAGGCCTTAATGGTCAAATTCCTGCAAAGAAACCACTACTAAAGGACACCAATAAGAAGAAGAGACATGCTTGGGCCAAGAAACACGAGCAATGGACATTAGACCGGTGGAAATCTGTCCTTTGGTCTGGAGTCCAAATTGGAGATTTTTGGTTCCAACCGCCTTGTCTTTGTGAGATGCGGTGTGGGTGAACGGATGACCTCTGCATGTGTATTTCCCACCGTAAAGCATGGAGGAGGAGGTGTTATGGTGTGGGGGTGCTTTGCTGGTGACACTGTCTGTGATTTATTTAGAATTCAAGGCACACTTAACCAGCATGACTACCACAGCATTCTGCAGCGATACGCCATCCCATCTGGTTTAGGCTTAGTTTTACAAAGAAAGAGAGTGATGGAGTGCTGCATCAGATGACCTGTCCTCCACAATCCCCCGACCTCAACCAAATTGAGATGGTTTGGGATGAGTCGGACTGCAGAGTGAAGGAAAAGCAGCCAACAAGTGCTCAGCATATGTGGGAACTCCTTCAAGACTGTTGTAAAAGCATTCCAGGTGAAGCTGGTTGAGAGAATGCCAAGAGTGTGCAAAGCTGTCATCAAGGCAAAGGGTGGCTATTTGAAGAATCTCAAATATAAAATATATTTTGATTTGTTTAACACTTTTTTGGTCACTACATGATTCCATATGTGTTATTTCATAGTTCTGATTTCTTGAATGAGTAGGTGTTCTAAAACGTTTGACCGGTAGTGTATGTATGAAGATACCCTCAAATAAAAGGTGGCTTTCTGTACTGTCGCCTCATAATTTTTAAAAATCTCAAATCCAAAATGCTGGAGTATAGAGCCAAATGAAAAGTTTTAGCTTCACTGTCCAAATAAATACATAGGGGAGTGCATATCAGTGTGAAATATGTTCTTAGTATAGAGTCCACTGGAAGCCAGAGAGATGAAGTATGACTAATATCACTTACTGATACATTTCAGGCTACTAAAGCTTTATAAATGGGTAGAATTACAACCAGCACAATCAAAGACAGGTACATAAATACAGTGCCTTCAGACAGTTTTCACACCCCTTGACGTTTTTCACATTTTGTTGTGTTACAGCCTGAATTTAAAATTGATTAAATTAAAATATTTTGTGTCACTGGCCTACACACAATACCCCATAATGTCAAAGTGGAATTATGTTTTTCAATTTTTTTAGAAATTAATTAAAAATGAAAAGCTGAAATGTCTTGAGTCAGTAAGTATTTAACCCTTTTGTTAAGGCAAGATTAAATAAGTTCAAGAGTAAAAATGTGCATAACAAGTCACATAATAAGTTGCAAGAATAGGGTTTAACATGATTTTTGAATGACTACCTAATCTCTGTAGCCCACACATACAATTATCTGTAAGGTCCCTCAGTCGAGCAGTGAATTTCAAACACAGATTCAACCACAAAGACCAGGGAGGTTTTCCAATGCCTCGCAAAGAACGGCACCTATTGGTAGATGGGTAAAAAAAAAAGCAGACATTGAATAGCCTTTGAATAGCCTTTGAGCATGGTGAAGTTATTAATTACACATTGGATGGTGTATCAATACATCCAGCCACTACAAAGATACAGGTGTCCTTCCTAACTCAGTTGCCGGAGAGGAAGGAAACCGCTCAGGGATTTCACCATGAGGCCAATGGTGACTTTAAAACAGTTACAGTTTAATGGCTGTGATAGGAGAAAACTGAGGCTGGATCAACAACATTGTAGTTACTCCACAATACTAACCTAAATGACATAGTGAAAAGAAGGAAGCCTGTACAGAATAAAAAATATTCCCAAACTATGCATCCTGTTTGCAATAAAGCACTAAAGTAAAACTGGCAAAGAAATTAACTTTGTGTCCTGAATACAAAGTGTTATGTTTGGGGAAAATCCAACACATTACTGAGTACCACTCTTCATATTTTCAAGCATGGTGGCTTTATCATGTTATTGGTATACTTGTCATCGGCAAGGACTAAGGAGTTTAAATAGTAAAAATAAATAAACGGAATAGAGCTAAGCACAGGCAAAATCCTAGAGGAAAACCTGGTTCAGCCTGCTTTCCAACAGACACTGGGAGACACATTCACCTTTCAGCAGGACAATAACCTAAAACACAAGGCCAAATATACACTGGAGTTGTTTACCAAGACGTCATTAAATATTCCTGAGTGGCCTAGTTACAGTTTTGACTTAAATCGGCTTGAAAATCTATGGCAATATTTCAAAATGGTTGTCTAGCAATGATCAACAACCAACTTGACAGAGCTTGACACATTTTAAAAAGAGTAATTTGCAAATATTGTACAATCCAGGTGTGCAAAGCTCTTAGAGACTTACCCAGAAAGACTCACAGCTGTAATCGCTGCCAAAGGTGATTCTAACAGGGGTGTTAATACTTATGTAAATGAGATATTTCTGTATTTCATTTTCAATAAATTAGCAAATATTAATAAAAGCAAGTTTTCACTTTCTCTTTATGGGGTATTGTGTGTCGATGGGTGAGAGAAAAATAAATTTGAATCCATTTGAATTCAGGCTGTAACGCAACAAAATGTGGAACATGTCAAGGGGTATGAATACTTTCTGAAGGCACTGTAGTAGGAAATTGCTGTTATATCCATTGTGAAATGTATTACTTTGTAAAACAGATTGCCATGGTAACACTAGCCCACTATAGTTCATATGTTTAAAACCACTAATGTTTTGTTCCAGATCTATGGTTGCTAATGACAACACAGCCCCTGGGGAGTGGAGTTGTTAATCCCTGTGGTTTCCTCTGTGCTTGTGGCCAAACATGTTTGATGTTAAAATGATGCAAAACAGAAATGCCTTGGTTACAGTCCTAAAGAAAATAATTTGACTTGTCACGTAGTTAATAATCTTAAAAAGATAAATGCTATTGTAGAAATGTGTAAGTGGGAATACAATTGCTAGTGTGCTATTGGTATTGTTGTCAATTGGTATTCTTGCTAATGTTCATACATGCTTCTTTATGATGACCTCTGTGAAATGACAAGGACACACTGGACCAAGAGGACTCACTTTAATGATTTGAGTGTTCTGTTTGTCTTCAGTGCATTAGCCAAAGCCTTGGCTCCCTCCATCCCTATGGAGTTCCCTCGTAGGCTGGAACACAAAAGAGAACATGACAGAAAGGATACAAATAACACAAAGTCTCTATATGGACCATTGGAGGCTGGTGAAGTCAGAGGGCAGGCTCATAGTAATGGCTAGAATGGAATACATGGAACGGTAAATGTAGGATTTCCATGTGTTTAATACCATTTAATTTGTTCCATTTCATTCATTACTATGAGCCTATATTGGACTGTGTGGGGACAAAAAGCTGGGAAGAAGAGATTGAAAATGTCAGGAACAAAGCGGTCACGAGAATGTGCCAACAGTGGCTGTCAAAAACAACCAACAAAGAGTGAGAAATTGGGAGGGAAAGTGTGACAGAGTGAACAATTTCTAGCAAATGCAGCGGGTCAAGAGAATGAGAGAGTCAATTTGTTGGTATTATGCCACAAGGACACATTACAAATAAAGAGAGAGCGAGAGGTTAAATCAAATAGAAAACTCACTCCAGAGTGTGCAGGGTTTTGTTGACCATTAGAGCCTCGGCCATTGAGATGGCACCACTCCTGCCTGCTGATACACCCTGGAGACTGTAGAGAGAACACACGTGACCATACACACACACTCATTCTCCTCCATCAGTAGCATTTACAATCTGGCAGAAATAAAGGCAACAAAGCTATTAGATCAGTATTGAATAGAGCTATGGGGCACTAACCACAAAGTACAGAGAGACGCATTGGTCTTCAGGGCTCCTGCCAGAGCTACAACTCCTTCATCCCCAATGGCATTCTCCTGTAGACTATACACACACACACCCACACACACACACCCACACACACACACCCCCACACACACACACACACACACACACACACACACCACACACACACACACACACACACACACACACACACACACACACACACACACACACACACACACACACACACACACACACACACACACACACACACACACACACACACACACACAGAGCAAAATCAGTCTCCAAAGTCAATCAATGACATTTAACTGTTCTTTGATTTCCAGACTTGGGAATGGTACTGTTTAGTCTAAATAGAGAGCCATAGGTAGAATGAACTGTAGTTCAGTGCTTACTCTAGTAGCTGCATGGTGGAGTTGGTGAGTAGAGCATGGGCCAAGGATTTAGTGGCTGTGCACTTGATGAAATTCCACTGGAGACTGGTAGACAGAGAGGGATATTTAGGTGCATTTAAATGTGTGTGTGTTGCCCGCATTCTCCACCAAGGTGTGGGTTGCTGCTGCAGCCAGCAATTAGGGTGGTTCAATCTCAGCAGGCATTCCCCTCACTTTGCCACAGTGTGTGTGTGTGTATGTATGTGTGTGTATGTGTGTATGTGTGTATGTGTGTGTGTGTGTGTGTGTGTGTGTGTGTGCACAGATCTGACTGACTTACTGTAAAGAAGTAAGCGCTCGGTTGACCTTTACAGCTCCAGCTATGGCTTTCACCCCCTCGTCGTGCAGCAAGTTGGCTGTAAGACTAAGACACACACAGAGATAATGAATGCAAGAGCATCGGTGAGAATCAAATAAAAACAGAGAAAGAAAGCGAGAGAAACCTTCATCAATTCTGAATGACCCCAGCTCAAAATAGCCAACTTCTCAGTGCTCCTACTGTTAATACAGACCCCAGACGCCTCACTATAGCACACCCTGGGGTAAAGACATTTCCTGACAGCTAGGCATTTCTGTGCCACCGAATGGCAGAGGAGACTTTACTGACAGGTGGTGTTGTGACTCACTCCAGGTGCCGGAGAGAGCTGTTCTCCTGCAGTGCCCTGGCCATGTCCTTCGCCCCCTCCACCCCGATCGAGTTCTCGCGCAGACTAGCAGGGAGAGGGGAATGAAACAGAGTTATGACAAAGGCAGAGCCCTGAAACAGCTAGTGTCCTTCTGAAGATGATATGACAGGCTCTGCATAGGTATAAAATGGTATAAAACGTTGAACACTGAGGAAAACAAGGAGGTTTCTTCTTACAACACTCAGACTGAGATTATGACAGGTTTAGACAGGTTTTTAAAGCTGAAATCCATAGTTCATGAAACTGCCACGTCCGTTTGCGATATTACAACAACAACAAAAAGTTACTTCAAACAACGAACACAGTTTTTTTCCCCCTCTGACATCATTGCACGTGCAATAGAACAGCAGAATGTAGTGCAACTTGTTTTTTTACAACGATGCTGGATGCTCCTCTCCCCTGTTTAATCAACAAAACAAAAACAATAAAGGTGCTGGGGGGGCGAACAGTGGTGATGTTTCCCCCTTTACGGATTTCAGAACATTTCCATTCTAATCAGCGACTGATTCAGATTTGGCTGAATGTGTGCAGTGCATCCTCTGGGCAATCAGTGATGAAAATTGACCCATTTAAAGTGCCTGGGAGACAGATGTGCAGATGACATGTGCAGCAGCAGCACTGGTGTTTAGGGAGAGACATGATAAGCTGAGCAATCATAGTTGAAGGAAGTCATAATGACATACATTAATCACTTAATGTTTCCTCAGTCATTATACTCATTATGACTTCATTGAAGTGAGCAGCATTTGCATTAGCTCCAGTACTCACTTCAGAGAGATGAGTCCACGGTTCAACCGCAGAGCCTTGGTTAACGCAGTCATCCCTTTGTTACTGATGGAGTTACTCTGCAGGCTGAAAATGGACATAGAAGGATTCATTTACCCTTAGAACCTACCGATCGGTTCTTCTATTTCATTCTATTTCTATGGAGTTCTTGGTAGCCTATTGCTTTTTGTGGTTGTAAATGGAACTGTACGTATTGGAAACGTGTTTGTGGCAGGCTGGCATTGCTTAACTTATTACATGGGTCGAATTTGATTCACAGAAGTGTATGGTGCCATATCACAGTGTGTTGCTGAACTCATGAGCCGCATGCTTTTCCATGTTTGAAGCAGGCCTATAGGCCAATCTATTTGGCATGACAGCTGTGCATGGCACATAGGCTGTTTATAATAGGTGAATTACCCTATCTTGTTGCCTATATCATCATAATAAAAATAAAAATGCCCCCTTAGTCACTTTAACCTGACGCCAGGCCTGCAGTAAGTTAATCATGATTGAACCAGCATGAGGAAAATGTGACAGAAAACAATGTCGCTATGACAACTGCCACTGCTTCAAACCATGTTAGATAACAAACAGATGGTTTATGTCATCTAGGTCAAATGTGTGTTTGTGAATGTATTTGTGCTTGAGTGTAAGGGGAATATGAAACATTTAAAGTTTATGTCAAGTGGAGGAGCTGCATTGTGGTAATGTCATGTCAGGTAATGTCATGTCATGTAGTGAGGGCAGGACACTGACTGCAGCGAGAGGAGGCTGTGGTTGACTGTCAGGGCCTGGGCCAGGGCTGCAGTGCCTTTATCCCCAAGCTGGTTACTGCTCAGACTGCAGACACACAGAGAAACAGAAAACACATTTCAGAAAGCAGCAATTGTGCATTATTCTGGGCCCTATTCTGTCAATACTGGTAGTCAGTGGTAACCAGGTTTCCAGGGTACCCTAAGCTAAAAAACTTGCACCATGGAGAGCACGTAAAAAATTGATATGAAAATCGACTTTCTGTTTTCTTTCAAATCCAACATTGTTTTGTTGAATAAATGAAGGATAAAGACAGGATATTGATAGAAGTTTTACTACATGTCAGGCCTTCTCCATTCATATTCATATTAATCCTGCACACCTGTTTGAGAGTCCCAGCTTTAATTTCACAATTTACATTGTGACCATTGCTTTCCCGCTCTGAGAATATGGGTCACTCGATTCTGACATATTGAACAGTTCTATAGCAGTCAATAGTCTACTATATGATGGAACATGACATTGATTGTCTTATGCTCCTAGACGGCCTGACAATCAATCTGTTTCAAGACGTTTCGGTGACATATATTTCATAGAATGTTTAGATAGACATCTTGTATAGATAGACATCTCCGATAATGATGACCCAAACGTCCTTACATCAGTTCTGTAAGTGTCCGGTTTGTCTTTAGCGCTTCTGCAATCCTCTTGGCTCCATCTGCTCCAATACAATTCTTCTGTACACTGGGAACACAATGTTGACATGTTTCAGCGTGCGCGCACACACACACACAGCCACAAGACCCATGCTCACTTGCTGACCTCGATAAGTTGACCGTTCACTTATAAACACACACACACACACGGATGGTCGGTAGGACTCACTTCAGCGAGACAAGCTTGCGGTTGGACAGCAGCACCTCAGCCAGGGCATGAGCACCCTCCTCCTCAATGCGATTATTTTGGAAACTGCAGAGCCGGGAGAAAATGAAAACACAAACCAAAATTATATTTCATATTTCACAGGCATTGGTAAAAATAATAAATGGCAGTAACTGTTGAGAGTAAATGTCAGAGTCGAAAATCATATACAGTGCCTAATGAAAGTCTTCACACACTTTGCACATTTTGCTGCCTTATTTTTAAATCTGAAAAGGGATTACATTTGATTTCGTTTCTACTGATCTACACAACCTACTACACATTTTCAAAGTGAGAGAAAAAATATAGAAATGTTCTAAAATTAATAAAAAACAAAGATGTCTTACTTGCATATGTCTTAAATCCCAGAGTTAATACTTGTTTGAAGCACCTTTTTGGCAGCAATTACAGCTGTGAATCATGTTGAATAAGAACATAAATCCATTGTTTTGGCAAAACTGCTCAAGCTCCGTTAATTTGGTTGGGGATCATTGATGGACAGCAATATTCAAGTCTTAATGATCTCAGATTTTTCTTAAACAGATTTATGTCAGCACCAAGACTGGACCACTCAACACCTCTTGGAAACCCATTCTGGTGTGTCTTTAGTCTTAAAATGTGTTTAATTTTCCCACTGTAAAATTTAACTATCCCAGTGTTAGGTCTTCAAAAGACTGAGGTAGGTTTTCCTCCACATTCTTCCCTGGGCTTTGCCAGTTTTATATTTATTTTGGTCCTGACCAAACTCTGCAGTCCCTGCCAGGACAAGCATACCTATACCATGACACTGACACAACATTTCTTTAAAATGTAGAGGGTTTACTCTGTGATGTGTTGGATTTGCCCCAAACCTTACATCCAATTCTTTGCCATGTTGTCTTGAAGTATTACTTTTTTTTTTTTTTTTTTAGTCATTTAGCAGACGCTCTTATCCAGAGCGACTTACAGGAGCAATTAGGGTTAAGTGCCTTGCTCAAGATCACAACGACAGATTTTTCGCCTAGTCGGCTCGGGGATTAGAACCAGCGACCTTTCGGTTACTGGCACAACGCTCTTACCCACTAAGCTACCTGCCGCCCCCACTTAAGCTACCTGCCGCCCCCACTTAAGGGCCTTGTTGCAAACAAGAGGGATGACTTGGAATGGATTTTTTTGCATAGGTTTCCTTCGTTTCACTCTGTCATATAGGCCAGTAATGTGGAGTGAATTCAGTGTTGTTGATCTATGCACAGTTTTTTTATCAGCTTAGCCAATTAACTTTGTGGCTGTTTTAAAATAATCTTTGGCCTTATAGTGACATCCATGAGCAGTTTCCATTCTCTTAGGAAGGACAGCCAGATTCTCACAGTACCAGGGTGATATGATACACCATCCACAATTTATACCGTACTTGACCATACTCAAAAGGATATTCAGTGTCTTGTAATTATTTCGTAACCTCCCCTGATATGTGCCTGTCTAAAAATGTATCACTAAGCTCATTTTCAGCTCTGAGGTTGAATCATTGTTTGAAATTCACTATCCAACTGAGGGACCTTACAGAGACAGCAGAAGTTGTTCTTAAATCATGAACTTGTTAAGATGTGCCACAGCAAGGGGTGTGAAGAATTACGCAATCAAATTCGTATATAATTTATATATGTTTTATTAATTCCTGCAAATGTCTATAATTTTTCTTACATTTTGAAAACTCTTAAGTAGTTTATGTAGATCTGTTGGAAGAAAAATGGAATGTAATCCTTTTTAGATTTAAATTTAAGACACCAAATGTGACAACTGTGCAAGGGGTGTAAAGACTTTCACTAGCCATTGTAGTTACTCACTTGATGGACACCAGGACCTGATTCATTTTGAGGGCTTCTGCTAGAAACTTGGCGCCTTTAGATCCAATGTTGTTGCTACGGAGACTAAGCCACAAACAACTTATGCTTAACCAAAGGAGAACTTTGTGAAATTAAACTTTCGGTACCACTTTCACACTTATTATATAACCAACAGGTGGGGCGGGTTTCTTGCTCAGAAGATGTTCTCAGATTACTGTTAAAGTGACTGGAACATTGTCATGAACAAACAAACATCTGCCATTAATTTGGATGTAATCAGACACAAATTGATCTCACTCACTCAAGCGTAATCAGTGTCCGGTTAACCAGCAGTGCTCGACTCAGGGCCTTGGCCCCTTTGTTGCTGATAGCATTCTCTGCCAGACTGAATATAAGAGAAGTTACATAAGAAAGACCATCATACTACATTTACATTTACTACATCATTATGCAATACTGGGCATACCAATTTGCATGTATGACCTCAGTGAATATCATGAACAGTATTATCTCACTGTAAAGAACATTTTCAATCGTAATAAAAGCATAGCAATGAACCTGAATGAGAGCTGAAATGTCCCCAATGCTAAATGTCTGACGACATTATTTAATGGTTGTGTAAACATTATGTAATCTCCTTGAAATTAAGCATTACCAGAATAGATGTGAAGGACCTGAGGTCCCAGGGGTCTAAACTGGTTAATGAAAGAAGTAGCAATGTAATTTGTTTAACCCTGATAACAGATCACACAATTGGGTCGCAGTCGGGTGACAACAATCAATTTGAGTCCAATCACAAGTACTTGAGGAGACTCATTGACAGTCCTCTGCACCTGATTGGACCATGGACGAGTTCCCCGTACACTAAAGTACAGAAACAAGGCAAGACAATGACTGAAAATTGAACACCTGCATGTCCTTAAGAGAGGCTACTTATAGGATGTAGGCTGCTTAGTTTCGGCTATTTTTCCCCCACACATAGTGAGGGGTTCTAGTCATTTTATAGAATCCCTGTCGCAAAGAAATTAATGGCTCCTGACCTTATCTTCTGAAGGTGGCAGTCCTTCGCACTCAGTAAGCTTCCCAGCAGTTCCATGACATCATCTTTAAAATGGTTATTTTCCAATCTGCAAAATGTTAAGATATAGCATCCTTAGTATTATAAACGTCTATACTCTGTCATAGGGATTTGGAAATTATATTTCAAGTTTAGCCATAAATGTCCCAACATATGGCAGGTTCTGCCTCTGACCTTAACTCTTTTACTATGTCCCCACATTCCCCCCCTTTTAATTCCCCTTATCTGAAATGGTTGCACTTTGGAGTGAAGGAGGGTCTTTTCTGGGATGGGGAGGGGCTTTGTTGAGATGAGGAGGGGGTTATCTGAGATGGGGAGGAGCTTATATGAGATGTGGAGGATCTTAGCTAAAATGTGGAAGGGTTTTTATTAGATGGGGAGGAGACACCATTAGACAGGGAGGGTATGACAGTGACCTGAGATAGGGTCTGCTCTAACTAACCTGAGATGGCTGCAGTAGAGCAGCTGAGGCAGCAGGCTTTTGACAGTGGAGTAGTCCAGACATGCCGACAGGTTGGTCTCCTCACTGCACTCTGGAGACACCTGTAGCAGGTAGGCCAGCGCTGTGCGGTGTGTTCGTGTTAGCTTCCCTCCCAGGCCGCCACAGCGCAGGTCCTCCTCCACGCTGCGTAGCACCTCTGTGTGCTGCAGCTCCTGCAGGCAGTAGGCCACGTTCACTGAGCGCAGTGACACCACAGCACCCCCGCTGCCCAGGAGGTCCTGCAGCAGCCCCGCCGCCCAAACCCTTTGGCCCCCATCGTCCTTCCCCTGGGCCAGCAGGCCTGCCAGCGGCCGCACTGCCGCTGGACACAGCAACCCTGCCAGGAACCGCACAAACACGTCCAGGTGACCATCCTCCGCCTGCTGGGACCGCTGCAGGGCACTCCTGAAGTGGTTCTGGAAGCCGATCTTGGGCCAGGACATGGCGCTCTCGGTGAACAGGTCAAAGATGGCACGTTTGGAGCAGATGTGGTAGTATGTGGCTGCTAAGAACTCTTGCACAGTCAGGTGGGTGAAGCGGTAGGCCACACAATTCGGGGAATCCTCGCGGATCAGTACTCCAGTTCCGAGGCCACCCTGGGTGGATGGAAGGTCTACTCCATAGGCCCTCATGTCCTGCTCACTGAAGGTGTATTTGTGCTTCAGAAGTCCGTAGAAGGCCAGTCGGCCCAGACTTCCCAGCAGCTTGCGGTTGTTCCCGTTAAGCTGGTCCATCTTGATAGGCTCTCTGCCTCTGGGCTCGCCTGCTTCGGCTCTCATAGCGCAGAAGTGGGAATAGAGCTCAGTGCAGGTCCTGGGAAGGCCCTCCTGCCAGCCACTCTCCAATAGGTACCCAAAGGTAACCGCCACTATCCAGCAAATGCAAGGCATGTAAGACATCACCATTAAGATCTTGTTGGACTCCAAGTGAGTCCATATCTGACTGGCAGTATCTCCCTTAGGGAAGTTGTGGCTCAGGAACAGCCGGATTTCCTTCGGGCTGAATCCGGGGATCTCGGTCACCCTGTCCACTAGTCCCCCAGGAATCAACGAGGCCACCGCCGGCCTGGAGGTCACCCACACCGCTGCTTCAGGGAGCAGGTTTCCCCGGATGATGTTGGTGACCAAGTCGTCCACCGACACCTCCTTCTTGGGGTCGGTGCAAGGCGCAGCCTCCGAGAAGTCCAGAGGACAACGGAACTCGTCCAGACCGTCGAAGATCAGCAATGTCCGACATGTGCCACTCAGCACCAGGCTGGGGTCCGTCATGTGAGGGAAGGCCAGCTTCACCAGCCTTTCGGCCGACAGCTTCTCCCCAGTGTTCAGCTCCCAGAAGGCAAAGGGCAAGACAAAACTCACGTCCGTGCAGATCTCGCCTCGGCTCCAAAGGCGTACAAAATGTCCCACAAGGGTGCTCTTGCCGATGCCGGCCACTCCCACGGTGAGGGAGACCCTGGGGGGCAGGCTGACCCGGGTGAGGGGCTCCAGGAGTTTGGCCAGGGCCAGCTGTCTGACGTGGTGTCTCCGCGCCCCACGGGTGGCCTCTACCTGCATGAGGTCGTGCTCCTTCTGCTGGAGGTCTGAGAGGCCGTCGACCAGGAGCAATACTCTGGAGGAGGAGAATTCTGGGCTGGAGGGGCCAGAGGAGAGGCTGTCACTTGGTGTGGGATACTGCAACAGAAGAGCCTCCTTGTGCTCCTGAACCATGGGGTCTGCAGAGAGAGGATAATCAAATCACAGACAATGATAGCTTACAGTAGTTTCAGAGAGGGGAAGGTGTATACCTATACAATTACCAACAATAGATAGCTTTATCACTATGTGGATCTGAACTACTTGCAGAAGGCAGATGACAATCCTACACACAACACACTCTAGCCTATAAACTAGATGTCAACCAATAGGCTCCTCCTCCTCACCGTGCATCGTGATGAGCCGGTACACCTGGGAGTCAGAGTTCTCAATGAAGGCCTGGAGAGCGTCGGAGCCCTGGGGCTCCATGCTGGCCAGGATGGAGGTGAGGGTGCCCACCCGGTCCTGCAGCTGCCCCCCAGCCTGTACCTGGGCCTCCTCCCCCTGGCTCAACAGCTCCAGCTTCTTCATGTGGGACAGCGCCCCCTCCAGGAGGGGAGTGGTAATGAAGCGCTGCAGCTGCCCCTGGTGTTTCTGGATCCAGCCCACATCTGGGCCACAAGAGACAAGAGAGACCAACAGGATAAGGGAAAATCAATGTACATCATATACAGAGCTCTGAATTCTGATTAGAACTCTGTATGTACAATTTGCACTTTTGACTTCGAGTAAATCATACATTTATGTTAATGTTGGATTGGTGTGAATTCTTCAAGTTATGTGTACGTATCTTCTGTTAGAATTTGGTCTAGCATTGCTGACGGGCAAAAAATAGATGTTTTTTATGTCAGATGTCTGGTACAACTTAACCTAACGTAGCAGGTGTAAGAAGACGCCTGAGCATAGTTCCTACATCCGGTTTCAGGGGTAAAGGAAGCTAGGTTGAATTAGCTGTATCCCTGAAAACCGGATGCATCCAGTTGTTGTCAACTTGTCCAAGGCAGCTTTCATGTACAGTTCTTTCATTGATTGAGGAAATTATCAATGAAGGACATTAAGTGCAGCTCATAATGGAAACAACAGCAATGGCTTTTACCTTCCATCTCTCCCTTGGTGGAAGCTGAGCTGGGGGTAGACTGGAGGTCAACATAGCAGTCCTCTTGCCATGCGATACGCTTGTTTCTGTCCAGGATAGAATTGTAATGGGTGTTTCTTTCCATGGAGCTGTTGCTTGTTCCTGCCTAAAGATATTCCTGTCCACCTCTCTCCATCTCCGATTACTCTTGAACACAAAAAGAAAAGCATGTCTCACCTCAGGGCACAGAAACGTAACATGTTGTGATGGAAGCCTTCTTCATTGTCAGTACAGTAACGCCCTTGCCAATCATTGACTTTGTCCTCACCTGATTGGAGTGTCCAAGGGCTCATATGAACAGTGTATGATAATTGTGCCAATCATCAGGGGCCTCATTTATAACAGTTGTGTAAATTTCACACAACATTTCTGTGTGCACCATTTCTGAAAAGTCTGTGCATGTACAAAAATATAGAAATGTATCAACTTGGCACAAAATCAGACCTGTCGTAAAACTGTGCGCACGTGAACGAGCATTAAAACTCCCCCTGGAAACACCCTCCATTCACCTTTTATGGTGACAATAATGCACTTTATTTGCTGTATAATTTGGAACTATTTGGAATTAGGCCACGGCAGTTTCTAAAAGAAAGAGCAATTGCAATTGCAAAGGTGTGGGCAGAATGTTTTAATATTTTCAAACTAAATCATGTTTTGACTAAACATGCATGCTGCAGCGATTGCCTGTCCGCGCATTCTGCAAGATTGATTGTATATTCTAAACTATTTTAAAGTAGACTATGCTACAGCCCACACTTTTATGCAAAATATGAATTGTTGTTCCATGGAAAATAAGAGCACTTCCTCCCAGCTGCCCACTGCACTGAGGCTAGGAAACACTATCACCACCGATAAATCTACAATAATCGAGAATTTCAACAAGCATTTTGCTACGGCTGGCCATGCTTTCCACCTGGCTACCACTACCCCGGCCACCAGCTCTGCACCCTCCGCTGCAACTTGCCCATGCCCCCCCCGCTTCTCCTTCACACAAATCCAGACAGCTGATGTTCTAAAAGAGCTGCAAAATCTGGACCCCTACAAATCATCTGGGCTAGACAATCTGGACCCTTTCTTTCTAAAACTAGCCGCCGAAATTGTCGCAACCCCTATTACTAGCCTGTTCAACCTCTCTTTCGTAACGTCTGAGATCCCCAGAGATTGGAAAGCTGCCGCGGTCATCCCCCTCTTCAAAGGGGGTGACACTCTAGATCCAAACTGTTACAGACCCATATCCATCCTGCCCTGCCTTTCAAAAGTTTTTGAAAGCCAAGTCAACAAACAGATCACCGACCATTTCGAATCCCACCGTACCTTCTCCGCTATGCAATCCGGTTTCCGAGCTGGTCATGGGTGCACTTCAGCCACGCTCAAGGTCCTAAACGATATTATAACCGCGATCGATAATAGACAGTACTGTGCAGCCGTTTTCATTGACCTGGCCAAGGCTTTCGACTCTGTCAACCACCGCATTCTTATTGGCAGACTAAATAGCCTTGGTTTCTCAAATGACTGCCTCGCCTGGTTCACCAACTACTTCTCAGATAGAGTTCAATGTGTCAAATCGGAGGGCCTGTTGTCTGGACCTATGGCAGTCTCTATGGGGGTGCCACAGGGTTCAATTCTTGGGCCGACTCTTTTCTCTGTGTATATCAATGACGTCGCTCTTGCTGCTGGTGACTCTCAGATCCACCTCTACGCAGACGACACCATTTTGTATACATCTGGCCCTTCATTGGACACTGTGTTAACAAACCTCCAAACGAGCTTCAATTCCATACAACACTCCTTCAGTAGCCTCCAACTGCTCTTAAACACTAGTAAAACTAAATGCATGCTCTTCAACCGAACGCTGCTTGCACCCGCCCACCCGACTAGAATCACTACTCTCGACGGGTCTGACCTAGAGTATGTGGACAACTACAAATATCTAGGTGTCTGGTTAGACTGTAAACTCTCCTTCCAGACTCACATTAAGAATCTCCAATCCAAAGTTAAATCTAGAATCGGTTTCCTATTTCGCAACAAAGCCTCCTTCACTCATGCTGCCAAACATGCCCTCGTAAAACTGACTATCCTACCGATCCTTGACTTCGGCGATGTCATTTACAAAATAGCCTCCAACACTCTACTCAGCAAATTGGATGTAGTCTATCACAGTGCCATCCGTTTTGTCTCCAAAGCCCCATATAATACCCACCACTGTGACCTGTACGCTCTTGTTGGCTGGTCCTCACTACATATTCGTCGCCAAACCCACTGGCTCCAGGCCATCTATAAATCACTGCTAGGCAAATCCCCGCCTTATCTTAGCTCATTGGTCACCATAGCAACACCCACCCGTAGTCTGCGCTCCAGCGGGTATATCTCACTGGTCATCCCCAAAGCCAACACCTCCTTTGGCCGCAATTCCTTCCAGTTCTCTGCTGCCAATGACTGGAACAAATTGCAAAAATCTCTGAAGCTGGAGACACTTATCTCCCTCACTAACTTTAAGCATCAGTTGTCAGAGCACCTTACCGATCACTGCACCTGTACACAGCCCATCTGAAATTAGCCCACCCAACTACCTCATCCCTATATTGTTATCTATTTTGCTCTTTTGCACCCCAGTATCTCTATTTGCACATCATCTCTTGCACATCTATCATTCCAGTGTTAATACTAATTGTAATTATTTTGCACTATAGCCTATTTTATTGCCTTACCTCCATAACTTGCTAAATTTGCACACTGTATATTATATGTATTTCTGTTGTATTTTTGACTTTGTGTTGTTTTACCCCATATGTAACTCTGTGTTTGTTTTTATCGCACTGCTATGCTTTATCTTGGCCAGGTCGCAGTTGTAAATGAGAACTTGTTCTCAACTGGTTTACCTGGTTAAATAAAGGTGAAATAAAAAAATAAAAAATGCTGAAGCATGAGGTGATGGTGGCGGATGAATGGCATGACAATGGGCCTCAGGATCTCGTCACAGGAATCTCTGTGCATTCAAATTGCCATTGATAAAATGCAATTGTGTTTGTTGTCTGTAGCTTATGCCTGCCCATATCATAACCCCACTGCCACCATGGGGCACTCTGTTCACATTGACATCAGCAAACCGCTCACCACAAAACGCCATACACGCTGTCTGCCATCTGCCCAGTACAGTTGAAACCGGGATTAATCCGTGAAGGGTACACTTCTCCAGTAGCCATCGAAGGTGAGCATTTGCCCACTGAAGTCGGTGACGACACCGAACTGCAGTCAGGTCAAGACCCTGGTGAAGACGATGAGCATGCAGATGACTTTCCCTGAGACGGTTTCTGACAGTTTGTGCAAAAATTATTCGGTTGTGCGAACCCACAGTTTCATCAGGTGTCCCGGTGGCTGGTCTCAGGCCGGTTGGACGTACTGCCAAATTCTCTAAAATGATGTTGGAAGCAGCTTATGGTAGAGAAATTAACATTTAATTATCTGGCAACAGCTCTGGTGGACATCCCTGCAGTCAGCATGCCAATTGCACTCTCCCTCAACACTTGAGACATCTGTGGCATTGTGTTGTGTGACAAAATTGCAAATTTTGTGGTGTTTTATTGTTCCCAGCACAAGGTGCACCTTTGTAATGATCATGCTTTTTAATCAGCTTCTTGATAAGTCACACCTGTCAGGTGGATGGATTATCTTGTCAAAGGAGAAACGCTCACTAAGAGGGATGTAAACAAATTTGTGTCAAAACATTTCTGGGATCTTTTATTATAGCTCATGAAACATGGGACCAACATTTTACATGTTGTGTTAATATTTTTGTTCAGTGTTTGATGGACTGCATGTGAAATTCTGAAATATTGTATAGGGCAGGCTACTGATTATTTAAAATGTATTACAATACTTACTAGGGCTGGGAATTGCCGGGGGACCTCATGATACTTAGGTGCCGAAATGCAACCTGGTCTCAGAGCATTTCGTAATATTCTGTAAGTAAATCTGAGACCCTCCATTTAGAATTCTATGTTACGTTTCGAATGGTATGTATTAATTTGTGGATGTCCATTGCAAATCATACAATACGTAATGAATTAGAAAAATGCACAATATGTTACGAATTTGCAATACGTATGATATGTTACAAATTCCAATTTGTTGTTGCTAACGTTAGCTACGTGGCTAATGCTAACGTTAGCTAGGCTAGTGGTTAGGGTTAAGGTTAGGAGTTAGGTTAAAGGGTTAAGGTTAGGGGAAGGGTTAGCTAACATGCTAAGTAGTTGCAAAGTAGCTAAAAAGTAGTTGCAAAGTTGCTGATTAGCTAAAATGCTAAAGTTGTCCATGATGAGATTCGAACACACAACATTTGAGTTGCAAGACATTAGCGTTATTCACCCACCCATCCATCCATCCATCCATCCATCCATCCAGCTGACCAACCACTCATTTCCTTTTTGCATTAAAAGAGTATATTGACACACCCGTGCATCAATCTAATTAACATGATTTAAAAAAAAACAATCAAAATCAATCAGTTTAGGCTATAGATATTTTGCATGGGCTCAATCCACTGCATCCGCCTATGTCGGCCTTCCGCATCTGCAGTGGAAAGTGGCAGAGCTACAGCATTGTTTGTCAGACCAGGAGACATCCCGAAAATCTGTATTCTCATGAAAACATCTGTAGTGTCCGAACCTACAAACTAATATGACCCTGCTATGGAAAGGGGAGACACTCACGATGTTGTTCTCTGTTTTGCTCTACGACCCCCACAAATGTCACGGACTCATTTGAAGCTAACCCATACAAATGAATGGAAGGTATGGAGGTAGTTTTGTGCCAACAAAAAAAATCAATCAATCAGATTCCAAACTCTCCACCATGGCCAAGACCAAAGAGCTCTCCAAGGATGTGAGGGACAAGATTGTAGACCTACACAAGGCTGGAATGGGCTACAAGACCATCGCCAAGCAGCTTGGTGAGAAGGTGACAACAGTTGGTGCGATTATTCGCAAATGGAAGAAACACAAAATACCTGTCAATCCCCCTCGGCCTGGGGCTCCATGCAAGATCTCACCTCGTGAAGTTGCAATGATCATGAGAACGGTGAGGAATCATCTTGTCAATGATCTCAAGGCAGCTGGGACCATAGTCACCAAGAAAACAATTGGTAACACACTACGCTGTGAAGGACTGAAATCCTGCAGCGCCTGCAAGGTCCCCCTGCTCAAGAAAGCACATTTACAGGCCCGTCTGAAGTTGATGAACATCTGAATGATTCAGAGGAGAACTGGGTGAAAGTGTTGTGGTCAGATGAGACCAAAATCGAGCTCTTTGGCATCAACTCAACTCGCCGTGTTTGAAGGAGGAGGAATGCTGCCTATGACCCCAAGAACACCATCCCCACCGTCAAAGATGGAGGTGGAAACATTATGCTTTGGGGGTGTTTTTCTGCTAAGGGGACAGGACAACTTCACTGCATCAAAGGGATAATAATAATAATAATATGCCATTTAGCAGATGCTTTTATCCAAAGCGACTTACAGTCATGCGTGCATACATTTATGTGTATGGGTGGTCCCGGGGATCGAACCCACTACCTTGGCGTTACAAGCGCCGTGCTCTACCAGTTGAGCTACAGAGGACCACATGATGGACGGGGCCATGTACCGTCAAATCTTGGGTGAGAACCTCCTTCCCTCAGCCAAGGCATTGAAAATGGGTCGTGGATGGGTATTCCAACATGACAATGACACTACATGACAATGACCCAAAGCATGACAATGACCTAGCCAGTCTCCAGACCTTAATCCCATAGAAAATCTGTGGAGGGAGCTGAAGATTCGAGTTGCCAAAAGTCAGCCTCGAAACCTTAATGACTTGGAGAAGATCTGCAAAGAGGAGTGGAACAAAATCCCTCCTGAGATGTGTGCAAACCTGGTGGCCAACTACAAGAAACGTCTGACCTCTGTGATTGCCAACAAAGGTTTTGCCACCAAGTAATAAATCATGTTTTGCAGAGGGGTCAAATACTTATTTCCCTCATTAAAATGCAAATCAATTTATAAATTTTTGACATGCGTTTTTCTGGATTTTTTTGTTGTTATTCTGTCTCTCACTGTTCAAATAAACCTACCATTAAAATTATAGACTGATCATGTCTTTGTCAGTGGGCAAACGTACAAAATCAGCAGGGGATCAAATACTTTTTTCCCTCACTGTATGTATTGCGATTCTCAAGATTCTGTATGTATTGCGATTCGATGTTCCAAACATAATGCTCACCACATATCTTCAGCAGAGAGACGAGGAGAGCATGAGAAAATGAGTTTTGATCAGTCATGGAAATAAAAGTTCTGAAAACAAATTGGCTCTCTATTTAAAAAGAAGATGGAGAACATGCTATGAAGGAAAAATACTGGAGTTTTGGTACAGGTACAGCCAACTAGCTCACAAATAATATTACGATATTGTCGATATGATATATTGAAAAACATAATATCCCGATATGTAACTGTAGGCCTATCGATTTTTTCCCCATCACTAGTACTTACAGTAGCATGCATACATACTGTAGGTCTACTTCAATTGAAAAGATCAACTGTTCATTCACCTTAAATCCGACTGTATATTATAAACTGTGCTGCCTATGGGATTGCAAAACTTGAAATACATATAGATGATCTATTTACTTCTACTAGGTCCAATTCAATTAGAGATGTGCATGGTAATTTGTTGTATGGCTACTTCGGGAATATGAACCCATCAAGACCAGAGAAGGTGAGGAATTTATTCTGCAATGGTCATGAAAATAAAATAAATAAGAAAAAGATTCCTGTTTATATTTTAGATTCAAAAAATTAAACATACTAATGGAAAATGGCTGCATTTTTGTTAATATGTTCTCCAGTTTAAATTTTTTATGAATAAACTTTTCATCATGACCCCCATTTGCACAAAACACTTGCCAGGTTGCAATGCAATACAATATACAATATAGACTCCTGAATTCTATGATACAATTAAAGCCTTATATAATGCTCCAGTTGCCTGTGTACAGGTAAATAAGCTGAAGACTGGATTGTTTCCCACTCCATTTGGGGTCAGAAGGAAACAAGAAAATCAAAGGTCCTTGTGTGCAGAGTTGAGAACCAGGATACTGCCTTTGGCAATTAAAATAGGTGGGTTTAATGACATAGATGAAGAAGAGCCGCTATGTACTGTATTCGATTTAGGAGAGGTCGAGAATGACCAGCAGTTTTTTTTCACTGTACTTTATATGATTATGTAAATAAAAATGATATGATAATTGTATTTTGCTACAGAAAATAGTGTCTTATAAGCCAATGTGGGTTGGGCATCCTTGAAGTTCATAATAATATGAAACCTTTGTGCAGTTATGAATGGTGCATCTGTGTGAGATCCTCAAGTAAACAAGCAATTTTCCTCTCATTGATACCATTAGTGTACTCCTTTTTCAAGTCAGCTGAAAATAAACCGTGCAGTGCAGCCTAATGTGCTGTTCTTAAAAATAAATAACAAATAAATAAATAAGTGCTTTTCTTTTCAAATCAAATGCATGGCCCATATAATTCACAAGGCATACACCTTTTCAGTAGTCAGCATTAAGTGGTTACTTTATTCTTTTTCCATTTAAAGAGTATATTTAGAGGCCAAACTCAAGGTACTGATTCATTCCAAACATGATGAAAGAAATAGATGTAATCAAAATGAAAACTTCTATGCAAGATACACTACATGACCAAAAGTATGTGAACACCTGCTTGTCGAACATCTAATTCCAAAATCATGGCCATTAATATGGAGTTGGTCCCCCCGTTGCTGCTATAACAGCCTTCACTCTTCTGGGAAGGCTTTCCACTAGTTGTTGGAACATTGCTGCGGGGAGTTGCTTCCATTCAGCCACAGGAGCATTAGTGAGGTCGGGCACTGATTTTGTGCAATTAGGCCTGTCTCGCAGTCGGCATTCCAATTCATCCCAAAGGTGTTCGATGGGGTTGAGGTCAGTGCTCTGTGCAGGCCAGTTCTTCCACACCGATCTCGACAAACCATTTCTGTATGGACCTCGCTTTGTGAACGGGGGCATTGTCATGCTGAAACAGGAAAGGGCCTTCCCCAAACTGCCCCAGACCATTATTCCTCCTCCACCAAACCTTACAGTTGGCACTATGCATTCAGGCAGGTAGCGTTCTCCTGGCGTCTGGCAAACCCAGATTCGTCCGTCGGACTGCCAGATAGTGAAGCATGATTCATCACTCCAGAGAAGGCGTTTCAACTGCTCCAGAGTCCAATGGCAGCGAGCTTTACACCACTCCAGCCGACACTTGGCATTGCGCATGGTGATCTTATGCTTGTGTGCGGCTGCTCGGCCATGGTAACCCATTTCATGAAGCTCCCGACGAGCAGTTCTTGCGCTGACGTTGCTTCCAGATGCAGTTTGGAACTCGGTAGTGAGTGTTGCAACCGAGTACAAACGATTTTTACGCGCTTCGCGCTTCAGCACTCGGCAGCCCCGTTCTGTGAGCTTGAGGGGCCTACCACTTCACGACTGAGCCGTTGTTGCTCCTAGACGTTTTCACTTCACAATAATAGTACTACAGTTGACCGGGGCAGTCCAACAGGCCAGAAATTTGATGAACTGACTTGTTGGAAAGGTGGCATCCTATGGCGGTGCCACGTTGAAAGTCACTGAGCTCTTCAGTAAGGCCATTCTACTGCCAATGTTTGTCTATGGAGATTGCATGGCTGTGTGCTCGATTTTATACACCTGTCAGCAACGAGTGTGGCTGAAATAGCCGAATCCACTAATTTGAAGGAGTGTCCACATACTTTTGTATATGTAACTGTCAAAAATACAAATTATTTCAAAAACGTCCATTATAAAATCTCCCTCCCCAGCCACCCTAATTGACATCAAATTTCAAATCAACAGAAGAACATAAAGTCACCTTACCGTCAAGATCTTGATGTGCTACAGTAGCATAGTATACACCTGGCTTATACATGGTTTTCACTGTAACAAGATAGACAGAGCAAAGCAAGTTTTCCTGTAAAGTCAGTCTGTCTTTACCATACAAGGTATGTTTACAGCGGAAGCTGACTCAACTCATCACCCAAACCAAACCCCATAAAAGTAGCACTTGAGGTTTTCAGGCAGGTTGTCAGCTTCCGGTTCAGTCTGAGACAGAGTTTTGTCAGAGAGTCACTAAGCTAAAAACCACGTAACCCACCACGGCCTGGCTGCATCCTTCACATTATACCTCAGACACAAACAGTGAGACAAACTTACGTAACTATAGTAACAGGAGTACAGGACAATGCTACTCTTTGGAGATACTCGAGTAACTATGTTAACAGTCACTCTTATAAACTCTCAAGAGCATCAGCATCGATATACAGTCTCATCAAAAAATTAATGAAGCATTAGGTGAGCTAGAGCGAAACTTAGTGTAAATAATTGCCTTCCATGTAGTCTATCATTGTACTTCCTGTCTAGGTGGCCGTTGGGCCTCACTTGACTGCTCACACATGTCTGGTAATTGCAGCGGAGTTTAAACAATGGTTTTGAAGTCCCAGTCAGAGTGGCTGGTCCCAATGTTGAAAGGAAATGAGAGAGTTGGGTGAAGAAGTTGGAAGGGGTGTGAGAAAGGTCAAGAGCTCAAGTAGCCATACATGCAATATCCAAACCCATGTGGACCCCCACAAGGGAGAAAATAACTGAAATTGAAGCGAGTTTAAGATAAATAAATGTATGATCAGGTACGGAGGTAACTCACCTTGGGCGACTGGTGCAGCTGTGGGTCTGGTTTCAACAGGTGTGAGCAGAAATTACCCTGAACCCAAGTCCTCTACCTTTTAGAGTGGGGTGGGATAGAAATAGAACAGCTGCTTTGGTTTAGTGGATCTTGCTCTCGCTGTCTGTAGCTGGCCTGAAAGGAACTCGCAAACAAACCAAAAAAATTGAAATCCTCTGGAGACACTTTTCTGACTAGACAGCTTAATGCTGCTTCAGCACTGAAGGTGTTACTTGTGTCAAGAAATGTATCTAATAGAAAGTAAATAATAGTAATTATAACTTGTCGCTCAGTTAAGGGGGGACTCTGCTCTCGCTGAGCTGTTTGACGTTGCACCTCTTCCTGTATCACTATCTGACTTCCTTTACCGAGGCGAGGAGATTTCAGTTTGGCATATGACGCTTTGCATTGCATAAACTCAATTTTTTAATTATTCCTTGCGCACATAAACACACCAAAACATCTCCCAAAAAATAATTTAAGCTAGGGAGGTAGAAGACGTTATCAATCATCCTGAAATCTAATCTAATGCCAAAATCTAATTTAAAAATGACATTGATATGATTAGGATAATTTACAATTGACAATAATCAAAATACATTTAATCAACTAAGGGCATGAAGCTGTCAGGGCAGGTATAGAGTGGATGACAGAAAGAGGATGGTACTGACTCATCTCATACGGTGTAGAGAAAACAAACTAGATAGAAAAAACAAGTTATTGACAGAGAAAGGGAGAGATGGCGAGGTTGTGAAAAGGAGACACACACTATGTAGAATTACGTAGGTACTCGCACTCAAACCATGAAAAGGCAAAACCAAGGAAGCCGAGATGTAAAAATATAATTAATAGCAACAGTTATTGAATCCTTTAGCCCAGTCTCCAGATAAAAAGTGAATCTTGATAAGTCGTTGGCTATGCTGTTAGGGCAGTTTGGAAACCTGACAACTACAGTGAGGGGAAAAAAGTATTTGATCCCCTGCTGATTTTGTACGTTTGCCCACTGACAAAGACATGATCAGTCTATAATTTTAATGGTAGGTTTATTTGAACAGTGAGAGACAGAAAACAACAAAAAATCCAGAAAAACGCATGCCATAAATGTTATAAATTGATTTGCAGTGGCAAAACCCTTGTTGGCAATCACAGAGGTCAGATGTTTCTTGTAGTTGGCCACCAGGTTTGTACACATCTCAGGAGGGATTTTGTCCCACTCCTCTTTACAGATCTTCTCCAAGTCATTAAGGTTTCGAGGCTGACGTTTGGCAACTCGAACTTTCAGCTCCCTCCACAGATTTTCTATGGGATTAAGGTCTGGAGACTGGCTAGGCCACTCCAGGACCTTCATGTGCTTCTTCTTGAGCCACTCCTTTGTTGCCTTGGCCGTGTGTTTTGGGTCATTGTCATGCTGGAATACCCATCCACGACCCATTTTCAATGGCCTGGCTGAGGGAAGGAGGTTCTCACCCAAGATTTGACGGTACATGGCCCCGTCCATCGTCCCTTTGATGCGGTGAAGTTGTCCTGTAGCAGAAAAACACCCCCAAAGCATAATGTTTCCACCTCCATGTTTGACGGTGGGGATGGTGTTCTTGGGGTCATAGGCAGCATTCCTCCTCCTCCAAACACGGCGAGTTGAGTTGATGCCAAAGAGCTCGATTTTGGTCTCATCTGACCACAACACTTTCACCCAGTTCTCCTCTGAATCATTCAGATGTTCATTGGCAAACTTCAGACGGGCCTGTATATGTGCTTTCTTGAGCAGGGGGACCTTGCGGGCGCTGCAGGATTTCAGTCCTTCACGGCGTAGTGTGTTACCAATTGTTTTCTTGGTGACTATGGTCCCAGCTGCCTTGAGATCATTGACAAGATCCTCCCGTGGAGTTCTGGGCTGATTCCTCACCGTTCTCATGATCATTGCAACTCCACGAGGTGAGATCTTGCATGGAGCCCCAGGCCGAGGGAGATTGACAGTTATTTTGTGTTTCTTCCATTTGCGAATAATTGCACCAACTGTTGTCACCTTCTCACCAAGCTGCTTGGCGATGGTCTTGTAGCCCATTCCAGCCTTATGTAGGTCTACAATCTTGTCCCTGACATCCTTGGAGAGCTCTTTGGTCTTGGCCATGGTGCAGAGTTTGGAATCTGATTGATTGATTGCTTCTGTAGACAGGTGTATTTTATACAGGTAACAAGCTGAGATTAGGAGCACTCCCTTTAAGAGTGTGCTCCTAATCTCAGCTCGTTACCTGTATAAAACACACCTGGGAGACAGAAATCTTTCTGATTGAGAGGGGGTCAAATACTTATTTCCCTCATTAAAATGCAAATCAATTTATAACATTTTTGACATGCGTTTTTCTGGATTTTTTTGTTGTTATTCTGTCTCTCACTGTTCAAATAAACCTACCATTACAATTATAGACTGATCATTTCTTTGTCAGTGGGCAAACGTACAAAATCAGCAGGGGATCAAATACTTTTTTCCTTCACTGTATCCCACATGTTCTGGGTATATTTGTCTCACCTAACCTTAAAGATCTTTTCAAACTCAACATCCTTGCAGTGCTCAAGAAAGTCAGAATTGATCTCAAAAGGTGATTCGATCTTGCCATCTCATGGATTGTCAGGGTGAGCCTTATTAAGATGAATATCCTCCCACGTTTGCTCTACCCCATGCAAATGATTCCACTATGGCTCACTAGAAAAATGGTGAAGTGTTGAGAAGGAACTCTAAATTCATTTGGCATGGTAAAAGAGCTCGAATTAAAATGAGGACTCTACAACTACCCAAAGACAGGTGGGTTAGCTCTGCCCAATATGCTGTACTACAATTGGGTATGCCTTGCCCGCATAATTTCAGAATGGATGCAAGGCTATATCAGGGGTGGGACAGTCTCCAGAAGCATGGGGCTGTGCACCTATGGCTTGGTTAAACGTACTAGTAATTTGCCCCTCTATTACCAGATTCAGGTCACTAATCTCAAATAAATAAATTCAGTCTTTCATTGTAAGATAAAAGTGGATCCAGGGCTGTTTCTATTAAGTTTACCAGTGAGAAACAAGGTTTTGAACTCTTCTAGACCTCTTCTTTTAGAAAGGTACTCTTATTAGCAAGAAAATGCATCCTATTTAATTGGATTAAGGACAAGCCACCAACGATTACACAGTGGTTTCAGGAGATTAAAGTTTTGCCTATGGAAAGACAGTGCTAGGATGAAAGGAAATGAAAATATTTATACGAAAGTGTGGCAGCAGATGCCGGACCATTTGCCTAGACATATAGTTCACCTGTTAGAGGGGCAGAGATGCTGTTGCTTGGCTCTCGAATGGGCAACCTTAACTCAGCGTAAGGGGATACAGTACTGTTTATGCCGATACGTAAGCTTATTGCATGGTGGAATGTGGTGTGTATCTGAGCAGAAAGTTGGGCAACTATGTGTAAAAAATAGTTTTCTTCCTTTTGAATGTTTTGTTGTTATTGTCCTTTTTTCTATTACAATATATTGTTTTGGACTGTTATCATTGTTTCGGTCTTTGTTGATGTTGGAAAAAAGAAAAAAACTACAATGGATTTACCACTTGGAACAAATGCATTTGTTTGATATCCATCACACACAAATAATATCTATCTACACTACATGACCAAAACTATGTGAAAACCTGCTCGTCGAATATCTCATTCCAAAATCATGGCCATTAATATGGAGTTGGTCCCCCCTTTGCTGTTATAACAGCCTCCACTCTTCTGGGAAGGATTTCCACTAGTTGTTGGAACATTGCTGGGTGGACTTGCTTCCATTCAGCCACAACAGCATTAGTGAGGTCGGGCACTGATTTTGGGCAATTAGGCCTGGCTCGCAGTCGGCATTCCAATTCATCCCAAAGGTGTTCGATGGGGTTGAGGTCAGGACTCTGTGCAGGCCAGTCAAGTTCTTCCACACCGATCTCGACAAACCATTTCTGTATGGACCTCGCTTTGTGCACGGGGCATTGTTATGCTGAAACAGGAAAGGGCCTTCCCCAAACTGTAGCCACAAAGTTGGAAGCACAGAATCATCTAGAATGTCACTGTGTGCTGTAGCGTTTAGATTTCTCTTCACTGGAACTAAGGGGCCTAGCCCGAACCATGAAAAACAGCCCCAGACCATTATTCCTCCTCCACCAAACTTTACAGTTAGTTTGCACTATGCATTCGGGCTGGTAACATTTTCCTGCCATTCGCCAAACCCAGATCCATCCGTCGGACTGCCAGATGGTGAAGCGTGATTCATCACTCCAGAGAACGCGTTTCCACTGCTCCAGAGTCCAATGGTGGCGAGCTTTACAAAACTCACACCGACGCTTGGCATTGCGCATGGTGATCTTAGGGTTGTGTGCGGATGCTCGGCCATGGAAATCCATTTCATGAAGCTCCAGACGAACAGTTATTTTTACGCATTACACACTTCAGCACTCGGCGGTCCCGTTCCGTGAGCTTGTGTTGCCTACCACTTTGCGACTGAGCCGTTGTTGCTCCTAGATGTTTCCACTTCACAATAACAGCATTTACAGTTGACCGAGGCTGCTCTAGCAGGGCATAAATTTGACAAACTGACTTGTTGGAAAGGTGGCATCCTATGATGGTGCCACGTTTTAAAGTCACTGAACTCAGTAAAGCCATTCTACTGCCAATGTTTGTGTATGGAGATTGCATGGATGTGTGCTCGATTTTCTATACCTGACAGCAACGGGTGTGGCTGAAATAGCTGAATCCACTAATTTGAAAGGGTGTCCACATACTTTTGTTTGTTTGTGTGTGTATGTATATACAGCTGCGGAAAAAATTAAGAGACCACTGCAAATTTATCAGTTTCTCTGGTTTTACTATTTATAGGTATGTGTTTGGGTAAAAATAACATTTTTTGTTTTATTCTATTAACTACTGACAACATTTCTCCCAAATTCCAAATAAAAATATTGTCATTTAGAGCATTTATTTGCAGAAAATGACAACTGGTCAAAATAACAAAAAAGATGCAGTGTTGTCAGACCTCGAATAATGCAAAGAAAATAAGTTCATGTTCATTTTTAAACAACACAATAGTAATGTTTTAACTTAGGAAGAGTTCAGAAATCAATATTTGGTGGAATAACCCTGATTTTCAATCACAGCTTTCATGCGTCTTGGCATGCTCTCCACCAGTCTTTCACATTGATGTTGGGTGACTTTATGCCACTCCTGGCGCAAACATTCAAGCAGCTCGGCTTTGTTTGATGGCTTGTGACCATCCATCTTCCTCTTGATCACATTCCAGAAGTTTTCAATGGGGTTCAGGCCTGGAGATTGGGCTGGC